CCTTAAGATTCTTTTAGAAAAAAATCACGTTCACATGAACTGCTATGGGATGAGTAAGAATATTTCCATTGTGATGTGATTGAAGTCAAAAAATGGTGCAAACTTTTTTTTTCTCCAAAAATGATCGTTGAATGACAAAGATATGTGGCAAATCATCAGAAAAAATAATCTAAATACATGTATAAGAGATGAATTTAATTTTTGAGAATTCATGAGGTACATGAACTACAGTAACTACGCTTCACGCCTGCATATTTATCACGAAGCGCTAACGCACGTCATGAATTTTGCCGGCGTCAAGCGTCGTAGTTCACGTCCTCATGAATTCTCAAAAATGAAATTCATCTCTTAAATAAATCTACGTAAAGTTGTTCATTTAAGGATGTTAGCATTCAGGGGAAGAAAAAGAGAAATGAAGACAAGTTTACACTCGGTGCTTCGCGCCTCATCCCAGTCCCTGACATATTAGACTATCTTTGTCTTATATCCCTTATAGAGATTTTAAATTTCTCTTTCAAAATGAGAGTGTGGCTATTCCAATCCCGATGCTTTGTGGCAAGTTTGATTGAAACTGATGGCCCAAATAATTTTTGAGAAGGTTCAAAAATGTGAAAAGTGTACAATATATACATGTTCCTTGATTTAAATAAAAACAATTTCAACACCAAAAACATACATGAAAGCACAATAAATAAGCATCAATAGAAGAGTAGATAATAAATGTATGGAATTAAATTCCAAATTATAATTCGTGTGGATCTGATGACTGGTTGCCAACTCTTCTTTGGGAAGTTTCACGTGTAATTTCTCCACTGGAAATTGAACGTATTTCTGACTTGTCAGCTCCCCAAACTTTTCAGGGTGCCTGGCACTGAATTCAACAGGGAAAAACGAGGTCCTTGAAATCCAGACAGAGAGTTGAAGGTCATCTATCCCCAGAAACTCCACATTAAAGATCCCATCAATCATTGCTACATCCAGACTCCCCGGATCAGATAAAATATTTTGATTCTGTTCGATTCTTCTGTCGATATCACGCAGTGTATTCTTACACAAGCGTATTTAATTCTGAAGAAAGTTCAAACGACACTGTTTCATACTGTCCAGTTTATCTTTCATTTCCTCAAGTAGCTTCTGCAGGCAGTCTTTTCTTCCACATCCTCCAGATAATCCAATCGTCTTTCACCTCTTTCTATTATTTCCTCCAACCTCGTTTTACACGATCTTTCATATTCATTTATTTCCTCCTGGTATAAATCGATTAAGGACGAATACAGAGGCTTCCTTCCTATCAGATATTTTGTTTGGCTCTCAAAATTCACTCTATTCTCCTTTACAAAATCTTGTAAATGCTGCACTGTTCCTTGAGTGTTGGAGAGGGATTCGTACATTATTTTTAAAAGAAAATAGAATATTTTTAAATGTATATTTCTACTTCCCTTTTTAGTATAGAATGTTCAGCAGGTACGGTATACGACTTTCGGTTTACTTTTGTGACGTTGTCTCTAAACCTTCGTTTGATTTCATCGGAAACCAAAATGGCAGATGTTATAAAAAAATTAACGTTATAGTACTAATTTATAAGGAAATAAAATCTAACTAGTAATTAATTCATCTTTTCCTCGTGAATTGCAGTTAAAGTAAAATGATGCTTTATTATAAATGGAGGAAATTATCCATGGTGAAATACATACGATGTTGACAAGCTCATTTTTAATGTGTGTGCGGCGTGCCAGAGAGAGAGAGAGAGAGAGATTCGTAGACACAAAAACTTAAAATAATCATGTCATTTTTAGTTCACCCGAGCAGTCGGCTCAAGTGAGCTGTTCTGATCAAAGAGTGCCCGGCGTCCGTCTGTCGTCCGACGTCTGTAAATTTTTCACATTTTCGACTTCTTCTCAAGAACCACTGGACCAATTTCAACCAAACTTGCCACAAAGCATCCTTTGGTGAAGGGGATCTAAGTTTGTTCACAGGAAGTGCCAAGTCCTCTTTCAAGGGAGATAATTAAGAATTCGTGAAAATTTGGTGGCATCTTTTAAAGATCTTCACAAGAACCACTGGGTAAGAAAAGATGAAAATGTGAAAGCTTCATTACACACTCTAGATTCAAGTTTCTTCATATATCGTTAAACTGGAGTTAGGGTGGGGCCACAAGAGGGGGTCGAAGTTTTACATAGGAATATATAGGAAATGTCTTTAAAAACCTTCTTCTCGAGAACAGCAAAGCCATGATTAGTCATATTATAACAGAAGTATCCTAAAGGTAGTGTAGATTCAAGTTTGTTCAAATCATGACCCTTGGGGGTAGGGCAGGGCCACAACAGGGGGTCAAAGTTTACCATAAGAATATATAGGAAATACCTTTAAAAAAACAGAGGGTCAAAGTTTTACATAAGAATATATAGGAATCATCTTGAAAAAATCTTCTGCTCAAGAACAGCAAAGCCACGATTAGTCATATTATTATAAAAGCATGCTTTGTTAGTGTAGATTCAAATTTGTTCAAATTTAGGGTGGTTAGGGTAGGGTCACAATGAGTGATCAGAGTTTTACATAGGTATACATATGGGAAAAATCTTTAAAATTCTTCTGTTTGCTTCTGAACAGCAAAGCCATGATTGGTAATATTGATATGGAAGCATGCTGAGGACAATAGTGTAAATTTAAGTTTGTCCCTCCTCCCTCATTGTTCAATGCTGAACTGATTTCTTCTTCTTTCTGCATCTTCCTAGCCAATGTGCTCAGGAGAGCGATGTTGCCCATGCCCCTCTTATTCAGATTGTCTGCTCAATGCCAGGAATAAAGTACAGAACTTCTTCAAAGAAACAATGTCCATTTGATTTCTGAGTAGATAGACTCCATCGTAAAGACCAGGAGGGCAGGAATTTCAATGTTGGTAGCTCATAGAGTATACTTGAAATATCACCATGCTTGCAATTAACTTGATTAATATAACTTAATAGAACTTCACAATCACGGTTCAGGCTCAGATCCCATTCATATTCTTTGTATGCATGCAGTGTCTTCTAAATGTCCACAAGATTTTTAATATAATGAATTTTCAATACACACTGTATATAACCAACTTGAACACGAGTTTGGTAAGAATTGTGAAGACTGCATTTCTAGCTCACCTGATCCGAAGGCTCAAGTGAGCTTTTCTGATCAAAGAGTGTCTGGCATCCGTCTGTAAACTTTTCACATTTTTGACTTCTCAAGAACCACTTTGCCAATTACAACCAAACTTGCCACGAGGCATCCTTAGGTGAAGGAGATTTAAGTTTATTCACAGGAAGTGTCCTGCCCTCTTTCAAGGGGAGATAATTAAAAATTCGTGAAAATTTGGTGGCATCTTTTAAAATCTTCTTTTCAAGAACCACTGGGCAAGAGATGAAACTTATGTGAAAGCTTCATTACATACTCTAGATTCAAGTTTCTTCATATCATAACCCCCTGGGGTAGGGCAGGGCCACAACAGGGGTTCAAAGTTTACCATAGGAATATATAGGACCCCCCCCCCCCCCATTAGGGGCACAACAGAGGGTCAAAGTTTTGCATAAGAATATATAGGAATCATCTTTAAAAAATCTTCTGCTCAAGAACAGCAGAGTCATGATTAATCAAATTATTATAGAAGCACACTCAGGTAATGTAGATTCAAATCTGTTCAAATTTACGGTGGGTAGGGTAGGGCCACAATAAGCAATCAGAGATTTACAATCTTTAAAATTCTTCTGTTTAAGAACAGCAAAGCCATGATAAGTACTATTGATATAGAAGTATCATAAGGAAATGCTTGTCTCCCCCCTAAAATCTTTTCAATACTGAACTGATTTCTGCTTCTTCCGAGCCAGTGTGCTCAGGTAAGCAATGTGGCCCATGGGCCTCTTGTAATGCTTCTGGCACCACTCTTCAGGCCTTAAGGGGAAGACATCTTGTCTCCCTTCATCCACATCATGCTACACACCAAAATTATTGGAACTGGTTTTGCCTTTTAAAGATGAACCTAAAGTGTTCAACAGTTGAGAAAAGGCATCAGGTTCAAATGAAAATAGTGACAGATGGCCTATTATTAAGGTCTCGCAGGACCTAATATCCTTTAAACCCATTAAAACATTCTTTTAACAATGAGTTCACATCTTTTGCATAGTTTCATATGCCAGGCAATGTAACCAACAGAATTCATTCTGTACAGTTATGACAACCACAACGGGCCAAGCCCCAAATCTTGTACTTACGCATCTATGTTATTTTGACAAAGGAAAAATTCCTTTCCCTCAATAAAACAAACAATATTTTCCCTTTAAATGTTTATGACAGTTTGCTTTATGCAGAAAATACAATTGAGAGAATCATACATAGCTTTGAAAAGGATCTTTAGCAAATCAAGCACCAAAAAAAAAAAGTCAGAAAATGTGTTAAAGCAAAATTTTACAGTGTGCATCTTACAAATCGTAAATGATCTCCCTCCTTATCTTTTTCACAGGAGAAATTGATGTTACCTGCCATTAAATCTAAAACGAATATTCTCAAGAACAGGTGAGTATACCAAAATATACAAATATTTTATGAATCCTTTTCATGAAATACATACACAGGTATATATTATACAAATTATATCAGAGATGTTTTAGTTACAAGATTTAGGATCTCATACTTAGTTTCTTATTTATGGACATTATTATTTTCCTTTTGCACTTTGAGCAACCATTGTACAAAACATGCAAATGTAAACAGTGGAAACATTATTATTTGACTTACACAAAATATGTATTATTTTACTTTTGAACAAATGATGGGTTTCATTTCTGTTGTATAAAGTGCAAATTTTTAATACTTACACAATGACAAAGAAGTATTTAAAGGGATTTTTAAATATCATTTTTTTGTTACTTTACTGAAAAATAAATGAACAAAAACATGAAATATGACTTTTAACAATATAACTGTATAGTAATAATAACAATTCAATGTAGAAAAAATAATTATATAATATCTAAATTAACATTACATTTATTACTTTACATGTACATAATACTTGATGAAATGTTCTCCTTAAAGTTCAACAATAAAAATGGCATATATTTATCTGGTCTCATCCAGAAATTAATAAATATATCTAGAAAATCTAGGTTCTAAACTTTAACAAATGTCTCATTATTTTCAATATTCCTGCAGATATTCTTTAGTTTTAGTCTTTCCTAATTTACCTTAATTCAGAGGGAAACGCTGTTAAATTCTTCAAATTTTGTTGTTTGGAAAAGTTATTTGGAAATATTTAATAGATTAAAAAAAAAAAAAAAACTCTCTGTTTAATTTGAGAAATACATGCTACACTCAATGGTATGTTAAGAAACCAAATCCTATCCTATTAACCGGTATACCACTAGCTTGAACGTCCTACTTCAAAATCCTCTAAGAAAATTTTGTAGATCTTTGGAATTATTACAATGAATTTGTTCCTAAATTTCACGATGAGAATCACATTCCCTTCATAATGAAATAAAATGGGACAAAATGTAACAGATGACCTAATCCAAATTTCAATGGTGTCATGAAAATGAAATGTAGCACTATAAACCAAACAAAAAAAAAAAAAATCAACTATAAACATATGTACACAAAGGGATAAAGAATTGTTATTCTGAATAATCAAAGAAATTATATCTGAATGGAAGGAAAAAATCCTTTTAGTATATTGGTGTCAAATGAGTCAAGAATGAAGAGAAAAACTGGGCATCTATAAGTTTACTGACAATATAGAAACTTTGATGATTGCACTTGGATTCTTTGTTCTTAGTAACTATACCAAAATACATGTCCTGGGTAAAACATCTTTCCTATTTATCCATTACGTTTGACTTCATTATACCCCTTTTCTATCTTTTTTAGTCTCTTACGGAAAAAGACTGACTTGGAAATATATGCATGTGAATAAGAAAATGTAACAAATAGTTTTGTTTTCTACATAAAGTGGATACTTTTTCAATCCTGACAAAGACAACCCTGGCTTCAAATTATGTTTTATCTCCATTATAATGTACATGGAATGCTCTGCTGGCCTAAACCTGCATCAGTAAAATAATTTTAAGCCCATTTTTGTTTCATGATAATTTTTTAATGTACTGCTAGTTTCTCTTTGTTGATTTTGTTTTCATTTAGATTTGCCTATTTAAGATGATAGTGAATATCTAGATAAATGCAGAAAGCATTGCAGTTAGTAAACATTCTCCACATACAATGTACCATTAAGTGATGTTTGTAGTGCATAACCCCCTTACAAGAAAAAAAAATGCTCCCAATTAACAGCCCCCCCCCCCCCAAAAAAAAACAACAAATAAACTGTGGGTATTTCTGAACCTGAATTCTGATCTATAGACTTGAGACCAAAAGAAAATAATCAAAATTTCTTGGCAGTAATATTACATATTGGAAAATTCCTATCAACATATTGTGTAAACTGAAGTCCAATTGAAGATTCACACATAGTCCAGCAAGATTATTGTATGTGGTATAAACTTCAAGCAGTCATTTTAAAGTGATAGAAAATGAACAATGATAACAAAGTTCTAGAGGGAACATTCTGATAAAAATTAATTTCAAATCTTTTTTTTTTTTTAATATCTCTTTTTTTTGTTGTGTGCAGGGTGCACCCAAAATTGAAGAGAAAAGAAAATATCTTGATTTGATTGATAGAAAGTATAGAATGTTTACTGCACACATCATAATTTATGTATCAAGTGTACATCAATACCTAACAGCTTAACATGACAAGATTGCTTTTCCACATGAGTATTTATTATTAACAGAAATCAACAGTACTTGAGATCATTTCTGAGCTTCAATCAATCAAAACAATGTTTGAATCAAACAAAATATCCTCCCTTAATTTTTGTCAACAATAGTATGCCATATGTAACTGTTAAATACACAAAGTTATAATAGCTTTAAAGGCAATTCATGGGTCTTACAGTTGTTTTTGTATAGTTTATTGTTCCCAAATAAACCATGTCTCCACTTACATGAAAAAAAATCTGTACCAAAATAGTCAGAGATGGCAAAGAATGGTAAGAAAAATACAGAATGAAAAAAGATTGACAAATGAAAAATGATAATGACCTATAAACACAGACAAATGTACACAAAATCAGACTCGCATAATTAGCATTAAATAACAAAGAATTCATTCAGCAAGAGAAAACATGTATGTTTGACATAACAATTTTCACCATACATTTATGCACACATTTAACAGAAAATAAAGAAATGTTGAAGCCCTAGTTTGAAGCCGCATAAGCCAGTGGCCTTTCATCAACAACTCCATTGGCCGTCCATGCATGTTTCGAAATCATTTGCAGGTGACTGAAGCAGCGATTACACACTCGTTCTGGTGTCATCAAATTTTGTTGAGGGATTGTGATGAAATTTTCTGAGCAATTCCCACAAAAGATATTTCCACAGTTCCTAGAAAGATTAAACATACATTATCACCAAAAAAATTTATTCCCAAGACTAAAAGTCAGTCACAGTTGGATGCTAAATGCTTACAGGAAAGGCATTGTTTTAAAAATTTGGATTTTTTTCATATCTTTATGTAAATTATTACTTTGTGCATTACCTACACCAAACTACATGTATTAATCAATAAATTTGTTATGAATTTTGCAGTCTCTAAAATCAGGCATTCAAACACTCCAACTTCAACATGATCCATAACAATTCAACAATTGATAAATTTATTAAAGCAAATCAGGTTAAGTTTGCATTGATCTTTAACACTATTACTTCAGTTAATCTTACTTCATCAGATTCATGTCAACTGCAATATATAAGTAAAATGCTCTAATCATTTACAAGATTAAACACCATAAGTATAAGTACAACTACAATAATTTTAACTCAGTTAAGCAAACAGTGATCAGTTGAAAACCCACCTGCAGTGATGTTTTCTGACTAGTAAGCTGAAGCCTGTCTCACATTCAGCACAGTGAGTGACGGCATGATCTGGTACCCAGCGAATCATCTTAGACTCGCTCTCATCAATGTTTTCCCAGCTGACATCTGATGCCGCATTACTTCCTAAAGAGTTGAAATCCCCATTCAAGTCTGGTGAGAGAAGCTGCAGAAATTTGAAACATGCTGTGAATGTTACTTTCTCAAAATTTAAAACAGAGGTATTGTATTCCCCACAAATCTTTAATGACACATATACTCAGTATTACAAGTAGCCCTCTAGACTTTAGTGTTCTAAGGAAATTACTAACGTTTTTAAAGGGATGAACTAATAGTAGCACAAACATATTATGATTAACACTTTTGTATCATATCTATCCAATGAGATTTTATGTAAATTATCATTTGGCAAGCATTTCAAGTCAAGAGGCCACGAATAGCAGGGATGGGGTAATTGAAATGAGTAATTGTAATTTACTGTATTTAAATACATTTTTTCAAAGTAATTGAAAGTATTTGTAATTGAGTTTGCTTTCAATCACTAGTAATTGAATGTATTTAAATACATTCCAAAAATGTCATGTATTTTTCAATTACATTTCAATTAAATTTCAAATACTTTATTTTTCAAGTTACATATTAAAAAAGGTGTTTTACCATGAAGCATACCAGTGCTGTTTGGCATGAGTTTTATGTTTACTAGTATTCAATAATTGAATGCCTAATAATGTTTATGTACAGCATAAACACACTGCCCAGGGCAAAAAGAAAGGTCAATTTAATAATAATGCTGCTTCAAAATATTCATGTACTTGTTCTTCAAAATTTTCGGAAATGAAACAAAGTAATTGATACGTATTTAATTACATTCTTCAAAGTAATTGAGAGTATTTAATTACATTTGTTAAAATAAATGTAATTGTATTTGCAAGTAATTGACAAAATTATTAATGTATTTGAAAGTATATAATTACATTTCAAAGTAATTGACCCCAACCCTGACGAATAGTCCAATTCTTCAATATATATTTCTTTAGTATGAAGTTTATAAATTACCATTTCTTCTTTTTCTAAAATGCACCTAGCTCCACCACTGCAAGCAGATGCATGTTGAAGAAGAGCTGCATTTGCCACAGCCAGGTGAGATCTGATCAACTTAATTTCTCGTTCATAATCTTCCTTTATTTTCTGGATGCCTTGTTGGACTGGATCACTAAAGGTTGTGAGTCCATCTGCGTCTAAATGCCGACTAAGACGCCCCATCTTGTTACCAAACTGGGATTCAATGGACTGCAAAATAAACATGGAACTTTGCAATACTCAACACATATTGGAGAATTTTACATTCCACTGGGTAATTTCTACAGCTCAAATTTGGAAAAAGATCATAAAAAATGGCATTTTATCATGTTTCATACTATATTCTTGCAATTTTTGAACTTTTAGATTTTGAAGTTGCAACTAAGAAGCCAAAGATAGGAAAGTGAAATACTCTGTGGCTTAGATTAGCAAAATAACTAAAATAACAAAAATAACAATTGAGCTTCTATAAAAATATAACCACAAACATCTCTATTAATTACCGGTACATAATACAATTTTTCAAATTTTAACAATCAAAATACTTTGGCATTGTAATGCATGCTCTCAATTTTTCAGTATATGTAATATTAATGAGTGTATAAAAATCTAACCTTGTCAGTTGCTGGTGTTGGAGGGCAAGTAGAACTCTGTGAATTTGCTGGAGTGGTTGGTGAAGTCTTGTATGTACTTCTGGACTGAATTGATCCATTGGAATTGCAGCTCAATCTAAGAGGAGTTGAACGATAAAGATATCGATGAATACTGTAAACGTTGTCCACTGGAAGTTTCAAATCCACACTAGAATTGGATATGTCACTAGTGCTGGTGCTGATACTTGCACTCTTTTCTAGTGTTTTAATTTGTTCCAGACTTAATTTGTGTTCAAGTTTTGAACCATTTATTTGAAGTTCACATTTTTCACCAGGTTTGCCTTCAGCATCAGTAAGGGTATCTGTTGAACATTCAATAGTTTGACTTGTTGATGGAATATCTACCTCGTGATGGAAGTGAGAATTTCCATTACACTGTTCACTCACCATACCATTATCTTCAGTATTTTCTGCATCGTTTTTACTCTGATTTTCATTTTGTCCATTTGTTAAATTTTCTTCTAAATCACTACAGTGGCCATTTAATCCATTAGAAACTAATCCATTCACAGATATGTCTCCATTCTGACCATTTTCCTTCAATGTTTCACTGTTCTTTTCATTACTGATATGGGTATCCTCTGAAGGAACAGTTCCATTGGAAACACAAGTATTGCTAGAAGTTTTATCACAGTCTTTTGTCAGATGAGAAGGGTCAAAATTATCTAAAGTAATGCTGGGGTCACTCTTCCGTCGACTGGGACTACTGATGGCTTCTTGTGTAGAGCCTGCCAGATTCTCACAGGACCGTGTTTTTTGTAAATTACTGCAAGTCGTTTCCTGTTGGATCTCTGGCTGATCACATCCCAAGTCTTTAAGGTCAGTTGAACATGTATAATTGGAAAAGTAAACTGATGTCCACAAAGTCAAACTTCGTACATCAAATTTTGGCCTCAACACCTGAAAAATAATGCCAGGATGTCTTCATTCAAGTGGCCCAAGTTATGTGTTAGCATCATGTTCAGGCAAACAACAGACCTATCTCTTGTTAAATGATTGTTACTGAAAACTTAGATTAGATTTTTGTACCTTATATTTTTCTTTAAAAAATATTTTGTCACAAGATCTGTATCAGTTATTTTATGATAATATGCATTACAGATTTCACCTAATGACTTGCTGTATAACCTCTAAAAATAAGAATGTGATACTCGTTAAGTCATTACTGTATACAATATTGGATACAATTTCCTTCCTTACCTGTTGCTCTGGATTAGGTGTATACAGGTGATTGTAGAAGTGGGTGTTACTGGGATGAAGAAGAGACCACACAGAAGAGGTCTGTATAGATAATTCTCCTTTCAATCTCTCCTGGACTGTGTTGCACAAGAATGTTCCAAACAAGTGGGAATAGGTATGCTGCACCATTTTGATCTATTTCAAAATAGGAGTTATCTACCATGATAATGGATGTGTGTGGGTTTTTTTTATGTGCTAGACAAAAACTTACCGGTACACTGAATTTTGATTTCAGAATTTCCACACATGGATATCATTATGGAGCAGAATTTAAGTTTCCTTATATTTTTAATAAAAAAAGCATAAGGACTAATCAGATTACAAGTGTGTATCAATTACCAGATATGCTTCATTGAACTGGAATGCACATGGGAACTGTTTATAAAGCTGAAACACACAGTCAAGCCACTGTAGGAAAACTGGTGATCGTTCATTAGGATCTTCACAGTTTACACCATTACCACATCTGTCTCCAAACTTGTGGCCAAATTCTAACCACTCCCTCTCCACCAGTACTTGAAAGCCCTGCAAAATAATCAAATTTTATTAAAAATTAAAAAACAATTCATTACCTATATTCAAGTTACCTAATGGCCATAAAATATAAATTTTCAAACCAGAAAAATAAAATCTGTCAATTTATTCACAAATGGACAAAAAACACCCCCTCATATTTAAACTTTTACAAGAGAAAAGACATTTCACATTGGATATACATGTACCTCAATTGTTCTGTAATATGGATCCATCATCAGCTCTGCTAGTGCCACAATCTGAGAAGTTCTATCCCATCCATCTGAGCAATGCACCACCACTGACTTGCCCTCCTTACTCATCACATTGACTACCAGGCTAGCCGTCCTCAAGAGGTTAGACAGGTAGGTCATCCATTTTGTTCCCTCTAATCCTGACAGCCAGCTATAAAAAAGGTGTCAAAAAAATTTCATAAAGAAATACAATCAACAGTCATTAATATTCCCTTTGAGATTTATCATCATTTGTATTCAAAAAATGCTAAATGAAAGCTTACTTGAGCTGATCAGAAGCTGTACTGCAGTGTTGTCGTAACTGTGTGAATGCTTTTCTTATGGCATGGATGTTGTCTAGATTCATAAACTGGATCTCACAGGATGTGTAATACTCTAAATAAAATAAATATAAGGCATGAAGAAAATATCCAGCAAAATGAACTAGTAGAGTAGGCCCCTCAGACTACCAGTTTAAGATGTAAAACTTTACAGACTTTGATCACTAACCTACACACTCTACACCTCCCCCTTTCAGTCTGTTTGCCATGGATGCTCGGTAAGATCTACAGTCAATTATCACAACTTTCTTATCTGCTTCATCTACGTCATCTAAATACAGTAAAATATATACATGTATATATATAATGCAAATTCAACATTGTTGAAACATTTTAGCCTGAAATTACCAAAAGCAATTTATGGCATTCAAATTTTTAACATTATCAGTGACACAGAATCAAAAATATATGGCATAAATTAATGAATGTATAATCCTTACCCCCGCTCTGTGACCCAGATTCTGAGCCACTGGAATCTTCACTGACTGGCAGTTTCTTCTGACCCTTCCCTGGATTCTGTTGACAAGCATCAGAGAAAGCTTTCATTAGATTCTCATCCTGAGTATTTCTCCAGTTAAAGAATCCGCTCTCTGGCTGACTACACCTTACAAGGACTGCACCATTTCTTTGGTTTCTATAAATTTTAAGTACCAGTATATACATGTATATATCTATTTTTAAAAGAAAGCTCAAATGAACATCATTTTTTTTTTGCACTTTACCAACTTCAAACATCTCTAATACTGTATAGCGGGTATTTTTAGCGGGGTGCTAACTTTGGCTTATTTTAGCAGTTTTGTAGGAAGCCGCTAAAATTTTAACCACCAAATTTGCACTCTTCTTTATCACTACTGAATACAAGGAAAATAACTTTGATTAGTCTATTATATAAGCAATATAACTTTCATTTGGTGTTTGATTTACTCAAACTTTTATGTAAATTTGTATTCAAACATATTTAAATGTATTAAACTACTGAAGCTTATCTAAAAGATGAATTTCCTCTCTTTTGCAATGTCACAGAACTCTGTCCGCCAAAATTATTGGCATATCTTTGAGCAAGCAAAATGCCAAATTTTACACCCACTAAAGAAACCTGCTATACGGTAGCTTCCTTTTCAAGTCTTTATTTTGTTTACCTCCACACTACAGAAGGAAATCTCTTGAGAGCACGGAACCCAGCTGAACTTTTGATGTCATCGTCTGTAATATCAGCTGGCACTATGTGATTCTTAGGGTATGTTGGACAGAGACTGTAGAAGAATTAGGAGTTTTACTGTCTGGCTTAAATTTCAGGATATTTTAAAAACAGCTACCTAGAACTACTTTGATCAGGTTGGAGCTACTGACACAGAAAAGCAATAAACATGCACTATATAATATATATATATATATACCGGTATATATATATCATACAATTGTAATAAAAGTACACTTTCAAAAAAATGCATAGAAGTACCGTATATACTCGCCTATAAGTCGGTCCGCCTATAAGTCGGTTGTATATTTCAAGCTTACATTAAATAGATTGACCCGCTATAATGCCAATATTCTTTATAACTCGCCTATAAGTCGGATAAGGACTTTTGGACCAAAGTTTAACTCCCAAAAAACCGACTTATAGGCGAGTATATACGGTAAACTGTTATCATGCATCAAAACAAAAAAAGTGCAATTTTAATTAAATATCTGGAGTGTTCTGAATCATGAAAAAAGATAAATTGCAAGTTAATGGGTTGTATGAAGGATATAAAACCAAACAGAACCAAGAGAGGTCATTTTCATTTGCGTCACTGATCACCTTTAACAGTGACAATGCAATGAGTTAGCTTCTTTGACATGTGGTTCATCATTCCACATACCTGAAATCTTCATTGACGTAAGTGATTCTCCAAGCTTTACCACTTTTTAAATCAAATTTTTGTCTCTCTACCTCCTTTCCAAAGCTATACGTGCAGTTCTCATCTGCAAAGAAAATGCAAGACCAATATCATTTACTACTTCTTTCCTTGTATCACTGATAAATTAAATTTTTTAAACCCAAAAATTTTAATTCTTGCAATTTTTTTTGTTTTATGGTACTTGATACAAATAATAAACACACATTTGTGTTCTCATTCAATTAAAGTAACATAAGATTAACATTTTATTATGCTTTCAGGAGAAATTAACAATTTATGGATCATAAAGTATGCAGAAGTCAGTTTGCAAATACAGTACTTTAATTTCTGAGTAACAAGTAGGAACTTAAGTGTATAGAAAAAAGATCTCAAGAGATGAGGTAAAATTTATGACAACCTGCCCTTTTGTTTACAGAGAATGAATGCCGATACAGGTAGACTAGAGTGACACAATTATTCCACAACTTACTACACATCAGTCATGCATAAGGAGGCCAACACAACTGGCTTAAACTGCCTGAACAAAAACAAATAACATATGCAGATTTGTTTCACTCATTGCAGGGCTCTTACATACTTTTTGGGACTAGGGCCAGGGCCACAAATTTGGGAAAATTAGTGACCTCTTGGAGAATTTTTTTGACAGATCATTATACATTAAAATTTTATAAGTTGGGTTTTTGGTGTCAATTTAACTTCTGTTTTTGCAATTTAGAGGAATATGAGCAGTAAGTTTAGTTATAATATATCCAACGATATTTTCTTTAAATTTTGGGGGAAATCATTACTGCAAAAAATTAACACATTCAATTGGAAAAAAAGTATCTTATCTGAATTGGGACTGGGGCCTCTGAATGGCCCTCAATTATAGACAATCAAGAGCCAGTTCATATTTAATTATAAAATTGCACAGATGAAATGCAACATGTATAACGTAAGATAAAATGTCTTCTAGCATCTTTAATTTCAATACCTGAATCTCCAGTTGCAAAACTACATAGATAGTTTACTGATTATCAAACCTTATACATATGGATGCATGCAGTTTAACAGGCCTTAAACTCTAACAGTGCACATTCAAGGTTGGACAGTTTGAAGAACCTTGAGTCCTTGACCATGCTGACAATACTATAATGACCTTCCCTCTTATGAACAAATAAAAACTCTGTCAGACTTCTTCAATCATCAAACAAAAAAATTATGGCCTTGTCGCAGATTTTATAATGATGCATATTATATCAAAATGAGCTGATTGGTAACAATTCTGGATGTAAATTTACTGTTCAGTAAACAAGGATTTCTAGAATTTATGTCTTACAATTCTTTGATTTATCTAGTGTGGCATTCACATCAAAATTAACTCAACTATGGTGCTAAGTACATGCTTAACATTTAAGGTCTACACAATCACTTAATAATTACAATTGACAATTCTGATAAACATTCAAAGATTACAAGATCACCTCAACAAGGATTATCTTTAAGTAAGTCGAAGTCTCACACAAAATGAATGTTCTGGTAGCGTGCATTGCAACATCCATACAAGTTTGGTCCAAATGGGCTTAATAGTAATTTGGCAATGGACTTGCTCCAAAACTTTGACTTGGTCACTAATGTAGAAAATTTAGGTCAGACCCAGCATCCAAAGCAAGTCTAGCAGTGTGCATCCCTAGTAACATTAGTCGTACAAGTTAAGTCACCATTGGGCTTAAAGTTATTTGGGAACGGACATGATCTAAAAACATTTACCTGTTCAATTATTCGGAAAATGTATATCCAAAGCAAGTCTAGTGGTGTATCACTAGTTGCTTCATCCATGCAAGTTTAGTCATGATGGGGCTTTTAAAACTTTAGTTAGAAATTGACTTTAACCATGATGCTGAATCCAGTGGTATAGAATAATCTCATACCAACTTTATCAAGGAGCTAAAAATAGCTTTCAGAGCCTGCAAGATACTATTCAACATGACCCTTCACTTGTCCAAATGATCTTGCCACATTACTTCGTTATAAGTGTGTCAAATATAAGGTTCTAATGACTTCTCCCTTACAACAAAATGGCCTAAATAGTGAGACACACAAACAGATGGATGTTGTTATTCTTCTAGCCAACACTACAACTATTTTTAAAACTACAAATTAATTCAGCATGCAAGTACACTGTATAAACAAACTACCTACCATATTATGATTATTTTAAAGGACATTGAAATTTCAAGGAAATGAAAATGCACCAATTCAACACAGTATTTTTTCAGAGAGTAATTCACACTTAATTTTTCTTCATCCACAAAAGACTTGTCAACTGTATTTACCTTTTTGGCACAGCTGAAAGCAGTTTTCTGGTTCTGTTGATCCAGGGTTACGGTCTTGGCACCAAGCATGAAAAGTAAAGGCGAAGAACTCATTGAGTTGTTTGGGAGCGTTCAGTTTGGCCATTATACGGAGAAACCAGGCCTGACAAGCATCATTGTCACTGAAGCCACATCTGAAAATTTGAAAGGTTGTTCAATCTAGTAACTTTTTGTTTTGTTTTTTTTTTTAACAAGAAATATAATTTTAACATCATTTAAACCTAATATAATAATGTACAATTATTGCATAACCTTTTTCATGCTAGGCTATTATACAATATCAATTTTGTTTATATCAAAATGTGATTTGTATTTACTTCATGATTAAACATAAATACCAACAAGCAGAATTTTTTATCTGTAAAATATATATTTTACAGCCATTTTAGGACACCAACATGCAGTTATAAAATCTTCAATTACAGTTGATAATAAATTAATTGTACATCAATGTATATACTGTGATAATATAATAAGAAAACATCCTTATATTTGATAGGGCAAGAGCCTTAATATTATTTAATTTCCTTATTAGATAAGTAATTTTATATATATATATATATATATATATATATATATATATATATATATATATATATATATATATATATATATATATATGACATTAAAAAGCAAAACTGTTTTTTTAAAAAAGAAGTTATAGCAGATAAGGAAGAAACATATCATATGTTAACAGATGGGATAATTTTTCAATAAATGAAAATATATAATTGAGAGAAAGTCAATATATTTATTTCCCTTAAAAATATAACTTTTGAAACCCATTAATTTCCATGAATTGCTTGCATATATGGCTAGTTATTTCATTAGAATTTTCTCTAGTTGTCTTGCTAAATTTAATTCCAGCTACAGTCTTCCATTTACAGGGTAAGAATCAATTTGAATTACATGACAGTTTTATAGTTAGTAACACAAGACTGTGTAGACAGACATATTGATTTCTCCTTGGTACAACGATCACTTCAGGAGCACTATTCCTTATACAGTATACTGCCTACAAGTATCTTATGAATAGGGGAAAAAACCCACAGTTTAAAAACTCTGACTAGTTAAAGCATTCGGCATGACACAGAATTTTAATTACCCTGTCAGAATGCATGAACTGGAAAATAATGTTCTGGAAAAATTTGTCAATGAAAGCCTGCAGGTTTTTATCTTGATGACACTCTTATAACAAGATTGAGATACTAGGTGGACTTGTATTTTTCAAGGCACTCGCAACCTAATGACCCTCAAGTCTAAGCCACACAAAACATATTTTATTTCTGCTCAACAACTGTAAAATAAAGAAATGAGTCCCTGTTTTGTCATTATATATGTATAATCTTATCTTTCAAGATCTCACAGACCATCTGTTGCCTTCAGCACAATATACCCACACCGTCCCCTGTCTAGGTTAGATATTGTTGACAAGCTATTACATCATCCTATCGATCAGTTTTACAAAACTCCTTACACTTCTATATAAAGTAAGTATGACTATGATGACTCAGCCTACTGATTTTTTTTCACCTGAAATTACGTAATTTCTGTCTATTGTCAATGGACGACATTTTTCTACTTTGGGACACATAAACAGAAATTGAAACTAAAATGATATCCATAAGATAACCTAAATAGGTTTTATTCTTTATATGCCTCTCCATTACAGGCTAGACGATGTCAAGTGTTTCCCCATTACATGTATAGATAGATATTACATGCTGTATTGCCCAGGATGTTTGTTTACTTTCGATGGAGATGTGTGTGTATTACCTAAATACAGAACAGAAATTGGCAAGATTTCCTTTATCTGTTTACAATTTAATCCTTTTCCCTTTTATACATATTGACTTATTCTTCACAATATAATCAGACTTTAAAATTCAATAACATAAATATGTGAGGGTAAAGTCACATCTTTATCCTTGTTACATTGATTAAATATAAGCCTGGCTACCACTAAAATGGATCTAACTAATTATGTTTTTAATTTGTAATAGATTCTCATATGCCTAACCTTGCCACTGTAGCATCTTTACAGTAGATGTTAAGGAAAAAGATGTCCGTCCTTTCCACAGAATCAATCATTCCAACTGGAACATTGACGAATGACGCCTTGAAAGTTATCAGGAGCCGATAATTGGAGAGGGCAATGACCCCATCTGTTGTTTTCCCCAAGAACTCAGGGGCTTCTCCAGGAAGAAGAGATATGGGGATTTGGAGGGAGTCATCCTCTCTTACCAGTTTCTTTTTGGGGAACAAGTCCGACTTGTTGATACACTCCAGACTAGTCGGTTCATCAGCATATGCCTGTATACACAGAGATAAAAGTTTCATCAGTTTCTTCACAAAATTACAATGAAAAGATTTTGTAATTCATGCATGTACTTCAAAATCTCCTTTACAAATGAAACATATTTCTTAAAGATAATCAATTGGTTTCTTTTGTACAAAAAACAAAAAACACAGTTCTTTAAGCATGGCAGGGATCAAGCTTCTGTTTAATTAGATCCCTTTATCCCCCCCCCCCCCCCTTTTATCAATTTCATTAATCTAATTACAAATACATCAAAACACCCACTACACCTAATGTTAATAAAGTGTATTGCAGACACCTGTTTCTACCAATAACCAAAAGATAGATAGCTATGAAGTACTTTACTGACACTAATAAGTGTGTATTTATGACAGAAGGCAGTAGGCCGTCACAACAGTGGTCTTGAATTGCTTTTCAAGTTATACTCTTACTCATAATGACAAGGTGTCAGAAATATGTCTTGCTATTAAATCTGGGATAAAAAAAAAGGTCAAAAAAGAGTACATGTATTACTCACCATTTTAAGATGCATTTGGCATATATATTGCTGATGGCACCGTCCAATCAAACAAAATCAGCACCCAAGATCTTCTCTTATGGACTCAACTAATTTCTGATGTTTTTGTTCCTGTTATAAAGCAATAAAACAGTTATTTACGAGCAATATGTCAATTTGTGAAAAATAGCTGAACTTAAAAATCCCAACAAGAATTATATTTGTACTGAAATGTCAAACCTATTAACATTTCTCCATTACGCCAGTCTTAGTAGATATAAACCTCAAACAATATGGTTGCCTATTTTGAAATTCGCTGCAATTTTGAATAGTATAATTATGAAGAGGTGAGAAACCTAAACGAAAGATTTTGTTGATACAGCACAATTTCTACCTGTCATTTACCATGTTTAAATCCTCTACTCCTTGCTGAAATTCATTCATAGCTACTAGGTAAATCAATATCTACACGTAAAGTCTACACAGAAAGTTATATCTAGACACGTTCTCCAAGGCCGAATAAGCAGTGTTGACCGAAATACAATATTTACATTTGGTGACAAACAATATTCAAGTTCCTTTTTTGGCAGATAAGCTGATGCAGGAAAAAATTGATATCACACGTCAAAATACATATACTGATGTGCAAAGCACACTTATCTGGTAATGACCTTGACAAGATAGATAAATATATATGTACTTTAAGTATACCTATTGTCTGTGGTGTTATTTATGTGCAAATTAAATTCCAGCGGCGTATATTCTGGAACATTACATATAGATAAATATGCTGTATATTAACCAATTCCATGAATGTATGTCCATTCCATAAATTAAAAAAAAACAGCACACAGAATCTATGGATGTTTTAAAGGAAAAAGAAAATTTAATCAACAATCAAGGTATTAGAGATACAATTTCATGAAATATAATTGATTTTTTTTATTTACTATCAGTTGTATGAACTCACTCTCTTACCTTTGGAACATAATACCAATCAAGTACTGTAATAAGATATTTTCCTTTGTATCAGAAAATATAACTATGAAAGGTTTACAAGAGGGTTTTCCAATAAGTGATCTGTTTTCTATTCAGGAAGTTCAAATTCTTATATCTGTATAATTGTGCATATATTTATTCTGTATATGATAAGAGTCAGAATGCATGTGAAATCCCGTGACACCTCTACTACTTTCATTTTGCCTAACAAATTGACAAGCCATATTACACTGTGTCTTACTTACCAACACACATTATTCTTACTCATTTTTCAAGTACTTGTGTATATCTAGGACACAGTTTTGTTGACCAGAAAAACAATACAAGTTCTCATGTCAAAGGAAATGCTGACACAAGCACACTTATAACATGATGAAAATCATAAGCATACAATCTGAGACTGATTCAGCAATTTGTTTTTTTCCCTTTCTCTCTAATTCAAACAGCTCAATGCATTAAATAACATTCTTCATCTATGATGTTGCCCAAATTAATGCAACAGAAACATGCATCTGGCATGTGCGCTGTCATTTTTGGATGCTCTGGAATTATTTCATGCTTAAAAATCCTACATTAAAGTTATATTTTTACTTGATAATTGTAATCTAAACTCTAAAGCACAAATCCTCTGCATGTCATTCTAAACAATTTAATAGACCTGATGAATTTAAGTTTTGCATGTCTGAAAATCCTTTTACATGTAAAAACTTTGCTCAACATGCCCAAAAACTACACTCTTGCATGAATATCAACAGCTACTTCCTAAAATACAAATTATACTGAGTACTTATTTGATTTTAAAAATATGATTTTGTTCATAATAACCATTTTGATATCCATAATTTGGTTGGCTTTGCTATTTGCAAAGCTTGGGATGACCGATTCCAAAAAGCTGGAAATCTGAACAATGTGATGTGTTGACTGCTGAGGTAACAGTTTTTAAAATAAAATGGGATGCAAAAAACATCTGAGTAAACTATGTAAAATTCATCAGAACACCAGTGGCTACCATGATTCACCTTACAGTGAACTTTTTCAATAGGCCTATCAAATTATCTTCTCATCTGTGGACACTATCATTACCTAGCAAATATCATCTTTATGGAAATAACATAGTATCAAGTTACTTAATCAATTAATTTAAAGTTTTTAAGTAGCAGTATTGTAAAACACTGGAACCAAGTTCTCATAAGACTAACTTTCTAAACAAAATGTTTCCTTACCTTAATGCATATATCTTTTTTTAAAAAAACCATCCTCAGAATTTACATATACATCAACTTACATGACTGACTTATTTGTCAATTGTAATCATAGTTTATTTGGATGAGACTAGTGAAGTATACATGCATAAACTACTTATCAGAAGTAGATTATATGTGGACAATCACATACCGGTATTTGTCTGAAATTTTTCACTGTGCAACATGAATGTTAGTTTTCATAATACAGTCATATACTAAAAAAAACCCCACTGCTATCAACATTTATGTCTCTCTAAAAAAATAGACTTAGCATATTTTTTATACACAAGACCTTGTCATACTAACTTGTAAAATGATGTGTTTATGCTTCAATACCCAGATATTCTTACTCCAGCATGCTAGAGGTTCAGGGCAAGATACTTTTCACTTGGGACTACATAACCTCTAGCATCCATTGAAAAATTCTCTGAAACTTGAATTGGAAATAAATTGTTTAATGGAAAATTAAGGCTTTGGACATTTATGAAAGACACAAAGCAATGAAATATTCATCATCTGCACTAAAACTTATAAATACAAAACAATGTTAACCTTTTGTATTAGCAATCAATCCATTATTTTAAAATCAAAGGAAAAATCAAAACAGACGGTCTATTTAAAATTAGGGAATGGAATGAAACAGTGTTGTGCTTTGCATGTAATAATTAGTGTCTAGGCACTCGCCTAGAAAAATTGACAAAATGAAACTAGTGTACCACTATGAAATAAGTAAAATTTTCATTTTCTGAATAGCAAAATAAATGTGAACCCAGTCAAATAAAAAATAATTTTTGTTAAAAATTGAAAAAAAATGACGATTTTGATTAATGAACACTGAAGAATACTGATTAAAGTAGATTTTATGACTTCTTGTGACTGTTATACCTAATGCAAATATGTAGGTACATGTACCTGAGAATTACTTATTTACAGTTTATTAAATCAAGATACTTCTGACTTTTCAGTCAGAACTACAGAAGCTCGTAAAAATGGCTTTCAGGGGTAAGAATCTGAGGTATATAAGGAGCATTGGAACGTTAACTGAGGCTCTTACTTGTAGGAGTACAGATACTCTAAACTCTTTTACTCCCTAGCCTACCCATGCAGGTAAATGACAGAATGAACATTTTAAAAGTTTGCCACCCCCCCCCCCCCCACCACCACACACACATCATGAAATGAAACAGAAAATTAAATTGAGATCTTCACCCTCCCTGTAACTTTTTTTTTTAAGTTGAGAAGCAGTCGCATAAGCTAAAAAACGTGCAAATATATAAAGTTAAATGTTTCTCATCACCAGTGACACATCCAATGCTGAAGCATTTTTGATGCATCAACAAAACAATATTGCCATTATGTATTCAATCGATACACACACTTCAATATTCAGTGAACATGGTGGGTGTGATTATTATTAGATAATATTGCTGCATGTTTATGTTGATGATAAACACAAACATAATCCATTTACACTTTGTCAAGTGTTTGTCATTCGTTGTCAAAATGAAAACTAGGCCACAACATGTTTCACAGAAAACGCCTCCATGCAAAATTGCTTACCTTTAAAGAATTAATGACCTATCTTCTGTGGAAATCCACAGACCCTGCTCTGGGAAACCCTTGGATAAATACTCTTTCAGTAAACCATCCAGACGTATTATTTCTTGCCCGGTGATCGTCATAAAAATGGCGGAGCAAAATGTCAACAACTAGTGACGTCACTTTCTTGGTCATATGATAAAGGTCAATGCTTTTCCATGCTCGCACTATTTACCTCGAAAAGTGCTTGCGGTTTAAAATACTTGTGATTTAAGTATAATTTATTTATATTACAACAATCACGCAAATTATCACGATTGTTGGCTATTTTTATGCGAAGCCAAAGATGTAGGCTCATATATTCCAGCTTAGATATTCCAGCATAAAACCAAGCATAGGCGTCGGAAGCAAATTGAAAAGGGGGGGGGGGTAATTGAAAGGGGGGCTAAACTAACAAAAAAAGGTAAGCCCTATATTTCTATCTTTGCAAAAAAAGATGGGGGGCTAAGCCCCCTTAGCCCCCCTAGCCCCCCCCCCCGGTTCCGACGACTATATATATGTAAAAAGTAACTCATTGTTTAAAGCACATATAATTAATGCTAACATAAAAAGTTAAAAACTGTATTACTGAAACTTTAAGTCAATTGGTTATCTATATCATAGATGAAAAAGCTGAATTATGCGATAATTTAAAATTCATTCTGGATGATTGAGAGAGAGAAAGATTGTGTCCGACTTCTTTTAACTCTCACGTGCAGCCGGGGGAAATTAACAGGCTTGGATTTTTTCCAGACAAATATTTGGAAATGAAATTTATATAAAGCTTTTTAAAGTTAATAAAATTATACATGTTTTAAGAATACAGCCAGTAATAACATCAAATGCTTAAAATGTTTTCATCAATTAAAAAAAAAAAAAAAAAAATATTGCAATTTTCATAGATCCCAGTACTTATATATATATATATATATATATATATATATATATATATATATATATATATATATATATATATATATATATATATATATATATATTCTATTTCAAATTATTTTCCAAACTTTAAAAGTTTAAAGGAATTTTAATTTTTCTATCTCCATTACATCATATAAATCAATAAAGTAAGTTTTGCTTCTGATAAAAATGTCAGTCAACAATATAAGTAAAACTGCATGCATGGTAATTCAATGTAAAAAAAAAAAAAAAAAAAAAGGGTGCATGATGAAGTGCACGGTCTATTGTAATGAAATTTATATATATATATATATATATATATATATATATATATATATATATATATATATATATATATATATATATATATATATATATATATATATATATATATATATATATATATATATGTTTATGAATGTAGCAGAAAGTGAAGGCAATAATACCATACAGGGACTGAGAATTTCCATACTTTATCAACTGAATAAAACAATGGTTAAAATACGATTTTGTTTCTTTCTAATTTTTTGCAAATAAATTTACACAAGTGCCGCGAGCAAGCAGTTTTAAACACTTGGATCTATTATATATAAAAACAGAATATTGATCTATATTTTGTTTTACAGAACTGATAACTAGTTCCAACAGGAGCAAGAGATTATCATTAAATGTCAATATAACTTTCCCGCCAACCCATGTTGATAAATTTTACGCATCAATGATCATATTTTTGTCCAATCGGAAAAGAGAATTTTAGTGTATCCTGGACGTGTGGAATGGCGGATTCACTTGAAAATGACCCAAAATTTTAAAACAATGCCTTATTTATCGTAATGTATTTACAAAAAGAATCAAACTGGACATTTCTTGTAACAGGTAAGACATTTATCAAGTTTTTCAGCACTTAATCAAGAGCATATGTGCAGTTGTAATGGTCAAGATTACAAGGAAATTTGTTTTGTTTACAACCTTTTGTGCATGATTTGAAATAATCTCAGTATTATTTGCCGGTTGTAAAGTTGAAATACCATATAAACTAATTTGAATATAAAGAAAAATTCTTTTCTTATTAAAAAAACGGCATTTTTACAAATGTTCAGATGTTGACGTTTGAAGTAGGTGGCATTTATTGTTTTCAAATTTCTTCTGTATTTCTTTTATTTTCACAATCACAGGGGCTTGCTCCCGGCGTGTAATAATGATTTATTAAAAAAATCATATGCATAATACTAAAACAACACGTTGTTTAAGTATAATGTATATGATTTTTTAATAAATCATTAATATGTTGAAGGTGCGACCGTTGGGGCGAGCGCATTGTTCACTTAATTTTAAGATCTGCCTCTTCAAACCGCACGAGACATTTGGAACGTCTAGACAGGACGTCACATGATGTTGTATGTTGTCAGCATTTCCATAAACAAAGTTTGAGAAGTGCAAAAATTTTAACAAAGAACGTTTAATCTACTTTTTGTATGCAATATCCATTAAATTAAGGTGAGTTTATTTTTTGTGAATTTTTAGTTGTTGTTACCGCATGACGAAGTTACAGCGAGAGCAACAAGCGATGCATTGTGGGTCCGGAATTACCGCGGAAAAAAATTCTATTGAATGAATGTGCAGTAGTCTGAATTTTCTCTTCGCCCAGGCGTTGTCATTACAGCTCGCAATGACGAGCGGCACTTTGCGCCACTTGCTGCGCTCGCTATTAAACGCCAGGAGCAAGCCCCTGTGATCACAATATATAAAAGTATTAAAATAAAAAAAATATACTGTTTCATGATGACTTTAAGAAGGGCAAATTGATATAGTTTGGTGAAATACAACAGCAATTGTTTAATAAATTCCATTTAATTATCTGCTAACAAAATACTTTTCCAAACTTTATTAATTTGCACAGCAACCCCCCCCCCCCCAAAAAAAAAAAAAAAAAAAAAAAAAACCAGTACTGCAGTTATTGTAAAAGGTGTAATTGAAAACAAGTTCATTTAGGCCTTTTCTCACTAGTAAAATATTTTATGTTGGAATCGATATGCTTTTTTTGCAAGGGGATACCCTGCTTTGGGGTGTCCTTGCTATTGTTGAATTTTCTTTGGTTATCACTAGAAAGTGGGCTAAAGAGCAGTACTGCAGTTATGAAAAAAACTGTGTAATTGCATTGCATTGTTGTTCCAGAGATTACTGCAAAAAAAATCATTCATCATTTGGATCAATGTGCACAGTTAAAATTTTCTCTTCACCTAGGCTAGATGTTGATGTAATCTAAACTTTAGATTTATTTATTATCTATTAAAAACTATAGTTCTGATGCCGTCTTGTAGATGTCTGGCATGGACTTGCGAGAATCTTTAGATTTTAAGGAGGACTCAACAGTTGCTGCAGATGGACTTCGAGAAAGTATAGAAAATGCTTCATTCTTTAAAAGTAGAGAACCACTTGCTGCTTCAACAGTTTCAAGGTATAATTTTCCAATCTTATTCAAATAAGAACGTCCATGCTCCTATCATTTGATAGATCATGCCTAAGGTCAACAGACTTGGGGAGCATGCAAGGATTTTATTAAATTGAAATTCTTCATGCTGTTTTTTTTTTTTTTTTTTTTTTTTTCATAGAATTTAGCAGTGATTATGGATAGTATATTGAGTATATTCATAAAAATAGAGGTAGTGCTAAGAAATTAAAAAAAAGTCTTTGAAAAATTATTCTGAGAATACAAGTAAAAAGACAAAGGGCTCAAAGACTGAAAAATGGGGAAAAAGGTTTCAAGATCTTTTGGAATTAAAGATTCACTTGAATGCTCTTAGTTATGTAGTCATGTTGGAAACTAAATTGCTAGTCAAAACTTATTCAAACTAGTAGCTGTGTTTTAGTAGTCTAACTGGACTTTACTAGAGAGTTTTTCTCTCACTGTGTAAGGTACAAAGTATTTGTACAATCTATGTGTAAATATGATATCTAACTTTAATGTGAACTGCTAACACAAAAATTTGAAGCTGTAACTAGAACCAGTTTAACAAAAGCTGTACTAAATGATGGTCAGAAAAAAAACTGAATATTTAAGATATTAAAACTGAATTTGAATGTAAGATCAATTCAAAAAGAAAAAATGAATCCTGAACCAATATTTCATAACTAATCTGAATCCTGAAATGATATTAAAAAAATTAACAGGAAAAAGGTCTTGTTGATCATGTATGTGAAAGGGTCTCTTAATTTATTTGAAATAGTCAACTTGTATAATAAATCATCTTAACATGCAAATTGATATCAAATATGCAGGCCACAGAGACCAAATACTAACCGACAAGACAAGGGGAACTGGAGAGAAAATGGATCATTTTTAGAAGATTTTAGTACTCCAAAGAGAGGGCAAGATAATGAATATGACAGGTATAGATACTACAGTAAAATTAATAAAAGTAATACAGACTTTCTATTAAATTTTTTTGTTGTTGCCTGAAATGTAATATTTTAAAGCCGGAAAAATGTCCACCTTGTGAGTTATGATTTTATTACAGACTTGGTGCTGAGTGTCTGGGGTTCAGGGGACAAAGTCGGGATTCCTCCCTGGGCCTGATTCCAGTAGAAGCAATGGATGGTATGAACTTATAAAGATATATATATATATATATATATATATATATATATATATATATATATATATATATATATATATATATATATATATATATATATATATCATATAAAGATATTTTTTCACATTATGTAGATTTTATATAATAATCAAAATATCTGGAGAGAGAGAAGGAAGGGGGGGGGGGAGATGATTGGACTATAACAATTAGCAAATGTTTAATATTTTAATAAAGATCCTGTTTTAATTTTACGTATACACATTCCTCATTAGGACATTACATCTTTAATTAATATGGAATACTAATCAAATGTAAAAATCATTAAATTATGTAATGTTTAAGAAGAATTTTGACAATGTTTTGTAAATAATTAATTCTTGTATGTGTTTGACTGCTTTTCAGATTTATCTGCTAGTGTTCTGCAGTTGTCAGAAGAAAAGTTCTTTAATTCAGAAACTGCCACTGTGAAAAAGAGACCATCTTCTCCAAAATCAAGAGAACCAACTGTAATATTTAACTCCAATTCAAGTTATTATGTTAAAAGTGATATTTTTCTGAAAATTAAAATCAGTAATGGAGTATTGAACAAAAATAATAGGACCTGTATTTCAATCTTCTCCGTAAAATAACTTTTCAGGGGGTCTTAAAACAGAGTTTGTTTCCCACCATGTCAACTGGACAAATCCCGGGGATCATTGCAGAGGAGGAGGGGGATGTGACAATTCCAGATATCCAGTTTCAGGAGGGAGAGCTGGAGCAGCTGGACGAAGACTTTGACCTTGATATGACAACCAATGAGAGTGCTCTGGAGTATGCTGGGATACCTAATCCAGAGGAATCGGAGATGATGCTCCATACTACCAATGATAACACAGCAGGTCACTGGTATTCTAATTAATTGACATTATGTGACCTTAGCTGAAACATTTGTAACAAGCTATTAAAAGAAGAGTATTTTTGTATAATAACAAACAGAAACAAACTTTATATTGTCACATTATATTAAGTTTTGTTGATTTTACTCTGTTTTAAGTTTTATTCTATCCTCTAACATAGATAAAAGATAATAAAAAATTCTCAGTGTTTTCCATTTTCTGATATTGCAAGTTAAATGTTTCATTTCCTAATTGAATGCTTTATTTAACAGGTGATGACATTTGGAACTCTGTATATTTGAAATCTGGCTCCACATTTTCTCGATTTGTCACAGCAGAAGAGGCAGAAACGTCAGATAAACAGGACACTTCTAACTTACAGGGGGCAGCAGGCAATTCTGAGAGAAGATACCCCAGTCTCAGCAAAGTCACGCTCTTTGATGGTACATTTAGTTAAGATCTAAAGAAAAGTTATTTTAATGATCAATTTCAGTGCCTTGCTGAACTGACTGAATGCATGTCGTAATTGACTTGTCTGCCTGGATTTATTGGTCCCAGTGAAGTGAAAGTACTAGGTGTTTAAATGTTAATATCAGGAGACACATTTAGCTCAGTTTCAAAGCAACTATTCAAGATATTTTTATCAAACCTTACATGCTGATACATATTGGTGAGAGCTATTAAACTGCATCAAAATTGGTTTACCATGACATTTTCTTTGACCTTACTGTTCTTAAATTTGTGTTAGCTCAATTTCAAAGATTTTTATCTAAGCACATATACTGATACATATTGGTGAGACCTTATCAAGTGTGTCCATTTTTTTTTACCTTGACCTTCTCTATGACCTTTGATTTTGCTAATTGGTGTATTTAAATATCAGTTTTAAAGAAATTCAAGATATTTTCACCAAAGTTTTTATCCTGATACAAATTGGTTAGAGCTATTCAATGGTATCATTATTTTCTGACCTTAACCTTCTATGTGACCTCACTATTCCACATTTACCCCAATCTTAAACAAAGAAGCAAGGTACATTTCTTTTCATGGTGCATAACTAGTGAACCCTGGGTGGGGCACTCATGACACCGTTCTTGATTTTATTGATGCTGAGTATATGTTGTAGATGCTGGAAGCTCTGAGGATGTTAGCCAGCCTTTATCAGCCAGGACAAGAGCTCAGTATCCCAACTTAGCAGCTGTAAGAATGGACAGTGAGGTAAAATTGGGCTGCTTGCTCATTCTGTTGTTTAATTTGAGGCAACAAGTTATAGTGATGGGAATCGGTAAGAATTTCATGATCGATGATCAGGCTACTGTAACTAACTAATTATCAATTATAATCGGACATTTACACAGTGATTCATTTTGGTGTGCGTCCTGCGTAAATTACGCACAAATTTTGCTCAGGACGCATTATTTCAATAAATGTGCATCCCAATGGACGCAATAAATTTATAGAAGGACCTGTACTATTTAAAAATTATTTCGGTATAATCTGATTCAAAACTTGACCGATTGCATCATATCCACGTGCTAAGTGATATGCATGAACGATCTTAACATGTATAAGGTTGCCAACAACAGGTCAGATTTCACAACTGCAGTTAAATGCAATTATCAGAAAATATTTGAAGGTTAGATGGCATAGTTCGATTATCACTGATTATGTCTATACCGTGGAATGTTTCTGAAGCGAATCACTATACCTTTGTATTTAAGCTGTAACTTGTATCATTGTTTTTTTTCTTTTCGTTTTTCCTTACAAGCTAAGAAGTATAAAATTTAATCATTTTTATTTCTGACTATTTTTCATTTCTTCTTAAACTTTTTTTTTTTTACTTCATTCTGCTTCAGTGTATTTTATGACTGATACAATGTGTGAGATCGTATGTTCGATCTAAAAATAGAACCAAGGTGCACAGTGGACAATATATTATTTTTATGACACAAAATCATGTGCTCTTACTTGGACAATTAATAGTAAAAGTATAAATCACTTACAGCTACAATAAAACATTTGCACTTTTGTGCAATACCCTTTTTTTATTTCACCAGAATTTCCTCTGTAACATCTAATATACGGTACCCTAGCTTGGATTTGGACGCATTGATTTTGGCACGGGACTCATTCCTGTCATTAAGAGGGGTCCTTTGGACCCATGATAACCATTTTCAAAATGAATCACTGTTTACAAAGTCTGTCAATTTTACTTTATTAAATGGTAAGAATGGTTGAATACTGTAACTACTTTCTGTGGTGGTCCAGCTGTAGTTGGAATAACTGTGTCTCGGAACAACCCCTAGTCCTTAGGACAATATCATTTTAACGATAGAATGTTCTATCTAGTCAAGCTGGTTCTACGCTCATTTTGTAGAATCCAAAGTACGTCCATACCCCAGAATGAGCGTTGTTACCCGGGTATGAATACAATGTCTCTTCGTCTACACCATTACAATACACAAATAAGTTAATAGAAAAGTTGCGGCTGGAATATTTGGCTTAAAAACTATTACGCTTTTAAAATAAAATAAATAATTCGATTAATCAGAATAAAAAAATTGTAATCGAGTGCTTGGATTATGCCAACAATCGACTGATTTTCGATTATAATCGATGACTGGAACACCACTAACAAGTTAGCTTACATTTTTTTGTATACAAAGTGATATGATTACTGTAGATTCCTAAATATACGCGAGGAATAAATTATCGCATGATAACGCGGGAAGCACCACTCTTGAAATAAAATTACTCGCTTTATTTTTTTTTTTGTGCTTTAATGTATGTAAAATCACTAAAAGAATCACCCATTTAGTGAGATAATACAGGTAATTCAGATTTTGACATGTTTGATATAATTTCTTTTTCAGGTGTTTGATCAGTCTGTAGATGTGGACAAAAGCATTTCAAAAAGAGGCTCAGGAGCAGGTCAAAGTGCAGACTTGGAAGTTAACCCACCAAAGAGAGGTTTTTCTATCCCTCATTAACCCTCTCTGTTCTTTGAAACATTTATACACATATGATTGGAAATTATAGAAATGAAAATGGGATACAAATATCATTCAAGTTATGATTATTATTGTGTATATCATGTCATTTCTTTAATTATTGTCACAGATTTGGCGTCAGTGAATGGAGGAACTGACAATGTTTCTATGTCTATGAGGTACTCAGCTGAGGGTGATGTGGTTAACTCACCTGACAGGACAGGTGCAAAAAGTTTTCCACAGAATGACTCTGATTCAGAAGAGTAAGTAAAGTGCATCAGTAAACATGTACAGTAAATCTCAATTATAGGGAGCTCCTAGGGACCTGTGAATTTACTTCATTATATCCGTTATTCATTATATCCATATAACAAATTCGTTAAAATAAACTTAGCAAATTCGCATTATACATATTTTCCTTCAAGATGACTACTAAATATGTTTGAGGAAATATTAAATTCGAAACACCTTAGAGTACAAAAGTTTTCAAATGATTTAAATTTCAAACAAAACTTACCAAAAATAATGTCAGTTAGATATTTTAAATTTTGAGAACTTAAAAATTTGCCATAAAAGATGTAAATTTAATTATTTTTAACCTCTACAGGACACAGAATTAGTTTGCTGTATCTGTAAATTTGTTATATCAAAGTTTGTTATGACTGTAAAACTTTACCAAGTGTTGTTAAGAATTTTGCGGGGATCCTCAATCGTTGCTATATCCATTATTCGTTATTTGTCTGTAAATTTGCTATGTCCATGTTCATATTAAACATGTTTTACTGTATAGGTGGAATTCTCACTATGAATACTTCTTTCATTGAGATCATTATTTTTTAGAACAGCTGTTGAAAATGTGCTCATTTTATTTTGTAAGGGAAAAAACTGTTCCCATACAGTCAAAAAGTTCTCCAGCAAAGGAATTCCTCAATACCTTTAAAGAGAGTTTTAAATCTCCAACCCACAAAAGCAGAAACCTGGGAGTGGAACCAGAGGTACATCTATTATATTTTAGTTGAATGTTTAATTAAGGACAGACGATACGTTCCTCAATAATATATAATTTTTTCTATTAAAGATTTTTTCATTGAAGTATTACTACTTTCATATGTTTACTCGCAAAATATTGAGGTACCTTACCAGGCATTTGTGCAAGATACCGGAGGATGTTGTTTCCTATAAAATCCTTTTGGAAAAAACTTAATTTGCCAATATCACGTTTTTTTAGTGTTTCAATTTTCAAAGACAAATAGAAATCAGTTTAGAAATCTGAAAGTATTTAAGATTTTGAGTATTTTCCGTACAATACGAAGATATACAGAACAGATATTTGAGGAACGTATCGTCTGACCTTAATAGAGTTGTGTTTTGAAGGGTTGAATACTTATGATGATACTTAATGTGTGTGTATAAGTGATATCTAATGAACTGTATGTGATTTCAGGAACAGAGAGTAAAACCAATGGGGGATGATCTGCTGACAGAAAAGGGACCCAATAGATATCAGGAACAACAGGTGTTTATTTCTTGGGACCTGAGTTTGTATTGAACAATTTATTTAATACTTTTGTCTCCCTTTGGCTTTTTTTGACACTGAATCTTAATTTTTTTATGTACTACAAAGAATTCTTTTTCAAGGTCTATAATCCTTTGAGTAACATTGTGTGATTAAAACATACAGATTTGATAAGGAATTATGAGTGTTATTTATTGTTTTTTTTTAGTAAATACTGTACATGTGATGAGAAATTTATGAATGTTGAATATTATTAGGGAGAAAAATGTGAAGGTGACATGCCCTCTCAGCTGAATTCCATGTACTTCAAGCCTTCATTCCCAGACGCCTCCCTGCTTCCCCAGGGACAGAGGATGGACATTACAGATGACATTTTTGGGGGGACAGTTAACCCAGAGACCATGGAGGTGTTTGAATCTCCAGGTGATAGACTGGAGGCCTCGGGCTGCAATGTTGATGATGTTCAGGTTTGTAAATCTTTGTTTTATATAGGACTTTTTAGCTCACCTGAGCTGAAGCTCAAGTGAGCTTTTCTGATCACCCGTTGTCCGTCCGTCCGTCTGTCCCTCCGTCTGTAAACTTGTCACATTTTTAACATCTTCTCAAGAACCACTGGGCCAATTTTAACCAAACTTGATACAAAGTGTCCTTGGGTGAAGGGGAGTTCAAATTTATAAAATAAAGGGCCAAGTCCCCTTACAAGGGGAGATAATTAAGAAAAGACGAAAATAGGGTGGGGTCATTAAAAAATCTTCTTCTCAAGAACCACTGGGCCAGAAAAGCTGAAACTTATGTGGAAGCATCCAGGGGTAGCGTAGATTCTAAATTGTTCAAATCAGGACCCCTGGGGGTAGGGCAGGGCCACAATATGGAATCTTAAGTTTTACATTGAAATATATAGGAAAAATCTTTTGAAATCTTCTTCTCAAGAACCACTGAACCAGAAAAGCTGAAACTTATGTGGAAGCATTCTGGGGTAGTGTAGATTCTAAATTGTTCAAATCATGACCCCCGGGGGTAGGTCGGGGCCACAGTAGGGAATTCAAGTTTTACATTGAAATATCTAGGAAAAATCTTTTTAAAAAAATCTTCTTCTCAAGAACCACTGGGTCAGAAAAGCTGAAACTTATGTGGAAGCATCCTGAGGTAGTGTAGATTCTAAATTGTTCAAACCAGGACCTCCAGAGTAGGGCAGAGCCACAATATGGAATCCAAGTTTTACATTGAAATATATCGAAAAAATCTTTTAAAATCTTCTTCTCAAGAACCACTGGACCAGAAAAGCTGAAACTTATGTGGAAGCATTCTGGGGTAATGTAGATTCTAAATTGTTCAAATCATGACCCCTGGGGTTAGGTCGGGGCCACAATAGGGAATCCAAGTTTTACATTGAAATACAGTATATAGGAAAAATCTTTAATAAGCTGAAACTTATGTGGAAGCATCCTAGGTTAGTGTAGATTCTAAATTGTTAAAATCATAACCCCCAGGGGTAGGGCGGGGCCACAATAGGGAATCCAAGTTTTACATTGAAATATATAGGAAAAAATCTTTAAAAATTTTCTTCTCAAGAGCCACTGGGCCAGAAAAGCTGAAACTTATGTGGAAACATTCTGGGGTACTTTAGATTCTAAATTGTACAAATCATGACCCCCGGGGGTAGGACGGGGCCACATAAGGTATTACAAAGGGGGAAATCTGGTAAAGAACAGCATGGCCAAAGTTACTCAGGTGAGGGATGTGGCCCATGGGCTTCTTGTTGTATTTACTCTGTGTGACCATTCACCAAAGGCTATATGATCAGTATATAGATTGGAGAATGTATGGTTGTTGATAAAACTGGAATACAGTCAAACCTCATTATCTAGAACTCCTGAGAAAAAACTTCGAGATATCCAAGGATTCGAGATATCAAGTGTAAAATACTAAAGGAATATATCATTGGGACTTCCAGATCACTTCCACATATCCATGATATTCGAGATACATATGTACCTGTGTTTGAGATACCGAAGTTCAACTGGGGAATTAAGTATACCAAGTATTGATGAATTAATAATGATATGAAGATGTATCTTTTGTAATGTCAGAAAAAATTAAATTTACTACTTAGTTACCAGAGGTTCATGTATATACTTTGTTTCAGCAGGCATTAAGCAATCCATTTGATGGTCTGGAATCATCTTTTGGATCTTTTGGACTGAAAAAGGAGTCTAACACGGATGAGTCGCACAGCAATGTCAACCAGTGGTTGCAACTCAATGCCAGCCCTATGAGCACACGAACTCGAAATAGTGCTCAGTCTCAAGCAAGTCAGAGACTCAGTTCTCAGTCAGGACAGAGTCCAAAAATAAGTCAGGAATCTAGTAAATCTTTACATCAGGAAAAGCAACCACCCAGAGACATGGAAGGGGTTAGCAAATATTTGTCAACCTTTTGAGATGAGTTATGGATATCAATCTTTTTGGGGCAATGTTCTGAACTAATAAAAGCAATAAAGCACGGAATTATAATAGATTTTTATGATGCTGATTACTAACAGTAAAAAATATGACAATATGCATGTTCCTTTATGATTAAAATGATGAGTTCTTAAACTCATTGGCTGATGACTTACTGTACATTGGCAGATGACTTACTCTATGGGCAGTGCATTATGAATCAAGGCTAAGTTTCTTTTCAGAGTGAACACCCCAGCCTGCCTCAGAGATTTCCAGATTCTGATAGTTATGTGTTTATGGAGCCCAGACTGAGTCAGTACTATGGGGCAGACAAATCATCTGTTAGGAGAAGCTTTCCAGAAGTTTCTGTGTCACAACCAATCAAAGCTCAATACTCACCCAGGCTTTCCAAAAGTCAAGGTAAATGTAAATTGAAAGTAAATGAATAGTTAACTAAAGGACTCTGATAAGCGTTAATGAGATATTGGTCTAAAAAGTATGGAATATCAGAACTCCAGATAAGGTGTGTATTTGCAGAAATACGCATTGAATTTTACAAAATACGCATTGAAAATTAAAACTGGACGTACAGTTACGCATTAGTAATCGTAAATAAGCACTACACTACGAAAGTACTGCGTACGACGGATTGAATAATACAAATACGACTTAGCTAATGATATGGATTGAGGTTAGTTCAGTGTTTGTTTTTTTTCAAAACGAAATGATAATTTAAAAGTGTTTTAATAACCAGGAAAATGCTAGTTATGGTGACGACGATTTCCAGTTCGGGAGAAAGAATTCAATGATTTAGATTAAAATCGTTTTCTTTATAAAAGAAAGACTACGCACTAGGCATAGTTACTTTTAAGCACACAAAAGCTTGTGTCGTCTATGTGAGATGACATTGTTCTGTAACAAATGTAATACATAAGTAATAGAAAACAATGTTACCTAGAAAACAATGGATAGTTGGAGGAAAAGAAAGAGTCCTAGCCGGAGAAAAAAAGTTTATATTGCAATATATCAAAGAGTACATATTGTGTAAAAAAGCAGTGAAGACCATATTGAAACCATATCGAAAAAAAAAGCTCTGTTTTTAATTCAAGACCAATTAAATAAACTGCTGTACAGAGACATTACGCATAATATGTATTTGTATTTAACGATAAAGAGTTTTCCTAGATTCTCTAGAGTTCTCTATGGTTCTCTGTTTAGTAGGACGGTTACCCATGGTTTGTACATAACGTTTTTTAAGATGAGTTCATTGACAATTTCTGATTTCTCTCGTTCTTTTTTTTCTCGGTTTACTCTTCCTACGATATCATCTTAAATAGAGAAAAAATTATATGTGCCTATGGTTACTTTACCTACTGTATGCTCTTCCTTGTCAAAGAAAAAAAATGTTTCTCAGGTTATCAAAAATCTTGTTGGCATTCTTAAAAAAATATTTAAATAAATACAGGAACTGTCCTTTGTAGTTTTTTTCTTTCCTTTTTAAAAATACTTTTATTTGGATAACAAGCTCAAAATTACAACAGATGTCAAAACATTAATATATTAACAAAATACTGTTAAATCATTGTGCTGAATATCAAAATCTGCATTGATTTGAAAATCAGGGAGTAAATACACTTTGGGCTAAAAAATTATCTGGAGCTCTGGAATACAGGTAACTCTTGATGGCTCGAACTTCGATCTCTCGAAGTTCTTGATCGCTCGAAGTGAGTCTCCGGTCCCGAATTTTTCCCCTATATAAGTAAGCAAATTTACTCTTGATTTCTCGAACTCTTGATCTCTCGAAACCCTTGATCCCTCGAAGTCAAAATGCAGTCCCGCTATGCATATTCTATTAGAATTTACCCTCGATACCTCGAAGTGGCTATGTGTACACAAGGTTATATAATTAGCACCTTTACCTGGACATTTAAATGGCCCCAGGCAGAAGACGCAGGTTTCGAGGAACGGGATGTTTATTCAGTTGACATTTATGCTGCAAGGTGATAACTGATTTATAATTAATCATATTTTGCCTATATGCTATTAAAATAATTATCAGCAACCGTCTTGCGATAATTTAGAGACGCAGTGTCAGTGAAAAGTAGTAATTGATTAAAAGACAAAACACTAATTTAATTATTTTGAGTCAGTGTCAAAGTTAAACGAAATGTGAAAAAGCAGAAACAGCCTCAATGTCAATATGACGACTATTATTGGACAAATACTTACAGAACTGCGTTCAATTATCATGTTTGGAATAGTCAATGCTATGTACGACGCTGTAAAATGTTTTCATGTAACGAATGCGTAGTATGATGTCCGTATTACAAAGATTAAATAAATATACATGAAATGACGATATACACTTTTGCTTCACTCAGTTTAATGAAATATTCATCTAAATTAGGAAAAAATATCGTTGTCTTATAAAAACCACGTGTAAAAGGTTAGCACTGCATGAAAATCATTACATCCGGTAAGACTAATATTAAAACCTGTCAACAAACCCGGAAAATTCCGGACTCTTGAAAACTCGAACTCTTGATCTCTCAAAGTTTTTCCTCAGTCCCGCGGACTTCGAGGTATCGAGAGTTACCTGTATGTTGAGAATTTTCATGTACAGCTATCATCAGAATATTTATGGTTTCTCTTTTCAGATACAGTTGTTGTATATAAGGATGGTACTGGGGAAATGGTGACAGATTTAGCTTTCCAGACAGATTTTACAGACATGGTTTCAAGTCAACATGCAAAACTGCAGGAACAGTTTGCCAAGGGAAGTCTAGATTTTGATGTCACCATGGCTGATGATGAATTTAAGTCTGCAGGTACCCAAGGAGTTAGACTAGCTAGCATTTTTCTTGAAAAAGTACATTTTTATTTGTACAGTCAACAATACAAACAAATTTTTATCAGTCAAAGGGAGGAATCAAAATGATTAAGAGAATAATAGCACCAGTAAAAAGGCCTTGCTTAAAGTTACAGCCATAAATATTAATACATCAGATGTACACATAAGAAGTACATGTTTATACATGTACATGTTGGTGTGAACAAAGTGTATAGTTGCTGTACAAATGGAATCACTATTGTAGATGCAGCTAAAGCAATGCTGGATGAGGATGAAGAACAGTTTGAGAAGGAGCATGTGTTTAGAGAGGTATAATTTAAACCAAATTTCTTTCATGAAGAAGGGAAGGTTTGTCACTGTAAACCTGTAAACATCTTAACATCTACACAATGAAAAATTGGGATATTGAAAACAAATATTGACTTGTAAACTGTTTATTCGTAAAAGAACTATGTGTCAGAATTGTTTGTCCCATCAAAGCATGTTTTAGTGTACTTGCAAGTTTGAGTGACAAGACCTCATCAGAAAAAAGTAGTGAAGGAAAGCTGAATTATAACATGTATAGTTTTGACTTTTCCATGCATTAAAAATGAAATAAAACATTCCTTTTCTTTATTTTGAATTGTCTCTAGGATTTAAAAAATTTTACTTCAGGATGCAAAGATTGTGACCCCTGTTGGTTCTCCAGATTCGTGGGGATATTCCAGCAAAATGTCCATCTCTTGTCCCTCATTCCTTAAACCTGAAAATGGAGAAGACCTTAGGATTTCCATTGGAACTTTCATGAAGAGTCGCTCAGGTGCATTAGGGTGTCTAGGAGGAGAAGGCGAACAGGAGAGGGTGAGTAGTTCTCAGAATTCTGAGTCATAACCATTTAAATAATCCTAACAAATCGGTTGTTTGTTTCAGTGATACTTAGTAATGTACATGTATACTGGAAAATAGTTACAAAGCAAATTTTATAGCAGTATTGTATGCATCATATCAAGTACATCTACTTTCAGCCTGAATTTGGAATGAAAATCAAAACACCACCCCAGAATAGAAAACCAATGGCATTGATTGAAGCTTCAGGAGAATATGAATCTGAGAGAAGTCCTCAAGCCACAAAGTGTAGGACTGAGGGTGTCGGCAATGAAGATGGTATGTACCTGTACCTGTTTGTATGAGATGTTCCAATTAAATGTACTTCAAAGAAAAAAAAATGGGGGAATACATACATGTATTTTAGTGCAAATACACTTGTGACAAAACAATTCAAAGATAACTGAAAGTGTAGAAAAACATGCTAGGGGGCACCAATTCCTCACAAATACTTAAATACAAATAATAGAGGAACAAATATAGTACATGTACAGTATGTTATAGTTACATAATACAAAATGTACACAGAAAAAAAATCAAAGCTGGAAAAAATGAATACACATTATGTGCAGTGGGTATTGCCAAAGGCAGTGAATTGTGCACCAAGTACTGCATTTTCATTTACAAAATTTGGATCAAAATGTTTCATTTCACTTTTCTACAGTAAAATGGTTGTGTGTTGATTTTAAAATCTAAAGGACATGACAATTTTTTGCATCAGTCTGTCCCACACAAAATTTCAAAATGTTGTTTCTCATTTTTAATAGAATCAGTCTTTTTTTGTGTCATGATACATTCCATTATTTATTCAGAGGACAAAACTCTGTTGGACGATGCAGTGACCCTGGCTGATCTAGAGCCATCCCCGGCATACCAGGAGAGCAGGGACTCCCAGTCTCAGCCTCCAAGGAGTAAAACCCCAGTGATGCACTTATCAGCTGAGCTGTCTAAGCTACAGGACTCCCTTAGGGATTCTGATGGTACAAAAAATGTTCAAGTACTAAATTACAGGATCTCAAGAAGCTATTTGTTTTAAATTAATGAAAGTATAATTTCAACAAAATTTATTACAAAAAAAAATTGCACTGAACATGCTGAATGGGAACAAGGATCTGATTTAGTAAAAAAATATATACAAGTAGCTTTAGGAGTACATTTACATGTATAAAAAAATCTTTTTCAGATTCTCTTAGTATTACTCTGCTACATTCCTTGCTACAATCTGTGCCAAAGGACACAAGACCAACAGAACTGTCTAAAATGGTCATGGCATTGTCTCAGAAATCTTCCAAATCCATTCATCATCCTGTCAATAAATCAACCAAACTTCCCATCAGAAGAGGGTCAGATGTGATCAATAAGATCAAAGGGTCGTCTCCAAGGAAATCATCCCAAGACTCGCCTGAACATGACAGGAGTCAGAATTCAAACTCCTTTACTTCCAAAGGGTCAGATCCTCAGAGAGAAGATGATACAGAGCTGAAGAACATTCTGCATAAAACTAGGCCTGATGGAGAAGAATCAGATGTGTCGCTGTCTCCCATCAGTAGGAGTAACAATGTGACGCCCTCAGATGTAATGTTAAAAACTTCATGTCATAGTGATACTGTAGAGGCCATTGATAGAGGGGCTGTACATGCTAGCCATCAGATGGATAGAGGTCAACAGTATAATGTATCGACCTCTTTACATAGTCATGGAGGAAGCCATAGATCATCTCAAGAAAACATTCGCCAGCCTTCAAGTGCGTCAGTCAATATCTCAGATTACAGGGAGAGGTCCAGACACAGCAGCGCTAATAGTGAATCCAGAGAGAACCGGATTAGGTCTCCACATGGTAGCACTAAAGAAGACTTAACAGGTCATCATATTCCAGATGGCACAGACTACAGTCTTAAAGCAGACTATCCACATCAAATAAATATGGGAATGTCAAGAGAAGATTTGGTAGGCACTGAGGATATTCAACTTGCAGATTCAAGGGGTTTTGATCTCATTGCCAGTGATATGGGACTTGAGACTGATTCCAAATACCAATACCATAGGGTCAATAGAGACTCCAGTGACCAAAGAAGCAGGGAAAGAAATAAAAGTAATTATCACTCAAGAAATGATGATGACATTGATTGCAGTGAGAGATATCATGATGTTAATGAGAATTTTAACAGTGGTAGGACTTCTAATGCAGCTAAGAAGTATGAAGTGCAAGAAGAACTCGCTGAAGGTGCACACAACAAAGAAAATGTATCTAATGTTCAGAAAACTCAGGAAGACAGGGACTTAATGCCACCTCCACCTGTTCCAAGTTTTCACCATAATCTTGTTCCACATCACAAAACTTCAGATCCACCCATGTTACTTACAAGACAGTCTCTGTTAAAAAGCAGCTTTGCTCAACAGTATCTACCACCTCCTGCCACCAGGAAAATTTTATCCTCTAAACACTTTTCTCAGTCCCATGGGAATATTTTCACAATGAGGCAAGACCACCCTCCCACCCAAGACCATGCAATGAATAAGAAATTATCTCACTCACAAAGTGACATTCAAGAACATAGTATAGCTGATCTTAGTCAGCACAGTTTGGTAACACCAGACCAGTCAAGACATCGGAGGATTTTGTCTGAACCAATGACTGATGGGAGAAGACTGGCAGATGAGGCCAGTATGTTCAGACAACCCCCTGCATACCACAGCACACCATTCCAAAGGGATGCCACTAATATGTCAGAGACACAATTTTATGAATTAAATCACTCCATGCTGTCTGTTGTGGATGGAGAAAGGTCTATTGTTGATAAAGATTTCAAACCAGGTAATATTCTATGATACTGTCAATTTTGACAAATCTTTTATGGTATGTCACTCGTCAGCCTTTTAGAAAAGTTCATTCAGAACCTCTTACTTAAAAACTATTTATTACAATTCAATCTTTATAACATATTTAAATTAAACAATGTAAAATGTTCAACATTCAATTAAAAAAACTGCTCAAAAATTCATAAAGAAGCAAGATTTATAAGGGACTATTTCTTGTGGTGGAAGGATATTTAGCAGAAAATTCTGCAAATCTACACATTTATTGAATTTAATATCTTGGAACTTTAGCCTCACATACTTTTACTCGGAGAATATTTTCTGTTATGATATGCCTGGAATATTAAATATAGATCTCAATTTATATTTTTATAACAAAATTTACATCTTCGCCAACAAACTTTGCCAAGAAATGAAGATAAAGAAGTCAAGATAAAATTTACACAGTTTTTTGCCAGAAAATGGCATATTTTGACAAATATTTCAAAATTTACATCACTGACCCTTTTTCTTTCATTATTTTAAACTACTTTTCTACTACTACTACTACTTTCACCAATCAGCACTTAAGTCGTAAAAAGTTTGATACAAGAAAATATTCTATTGCCTATTTAGATTTTTAATACCCCAAATATGAGACTTTTTTAGTGCAAAAAGGTCACAATAATTTACGCGCATTAATTTGCATGATTTGTTCAATGATAAATATTATTCAAACTATTTTACGTAAAATAAGATTATGTTTATTGCCATGGTTACATCTGATAAAATATGATAACGGTTAAAGTGATTAACCAAAGAGTTACAATTTAAGTTCAAAATGGTCAACTTAATTGTACCGTAGCTCAGTTAGATGCACACTGAACCCCCCCCCCCCCCCCCCCCATTATCTTTGCGATTTTGAGTCATACTATACGAGTACTTATCCAAAATATACATGTACTTCTCAAAAAATCCTTGATATAACAAATTTCACGAGTGACATACCTTAATATAGAAATTCTTCAGTACCATAGATTTTTTTCCTTTAATTTTCAAGCCAAAACCACCATACCAGAATACACAGGACTAGCTGCCATTAAGGCCCCTGAGATTCTGGCCTTCCCTGATGTTTGTTGTGTGGGAATCTCTGTAAAGACTACCCTCCCACTGACCAATCCGACCAATCGCTGGCTAGAGTGTATCCTTCAGATCCGACAACTCTCAATGGATGGACAGGCAGTGGGCAGCAGCATTACAGTGCCATTTGAGATGAAGCAGAAGGTTATCATTGAACCTAACACCATGGAAAAGATAGAGGTTTGTTGTATTATTTGATAGCTTCATCAGTATTTCATCACACTGTTCAGTTAGGAAGTAAGACATTATAATAGGATTAAAAAGAAAAAATTTATTTCACTCTGGCATTTACAAGAAATACATATACGAGTATGTATATCAGAGATGCAGTTTTATGAACTTAGATACTATTTTTGAATTGACCACTTTATGCAGTTTATGATGAAGGAGAAAGGTCTTCTATTGAAAAGGATTTCAAACCAGGTAATACTCCAGAGTATTAATTGCATCCATCTTGCATTGTTGCAGATGTCTTGAGTCTGGCAAAGCTAGAGAGGGCAATGTCTATTTACTGATACAAATTTGGCCTGAGGCCATAAGTTTGTCAACAGCTATTGGAATTTAATTCTTTACTCTCTGTTTATTATACACCTATTTACTGGGTATGAGGACAATAGCAAGTTTATTGTCCCCTAAGACAGCAACTATTTCCCGAGGCACAGCTGAGTTGTCCGAATAGTCAGTAAATAGATGCTTTATCATACCAGAGCAGACTTTGTGTCATGTCATGATCTGGATAAAACCAGAAAAATTCCGAGATAAAAAGCTCGGGAAATTGAATGCTGCTGGTGAATAGTTCAACAACTATTTCACAATGGGCAAATAGAACAAAAAGTGTTTCATGGTAGAGGCCATTTAGAAAAAATAGCAAGTATATTAGTGATATTTTACATAGAAAAAAAAAATACACAGAGGTATAGTAGTAAAAACAATCATAGATCTTACCTGTTGTCCTTTTTACTAGGCCATCTTTACAGGGAAGAAAGGTGTCAGATGGACTAAAGCTTTGTATCAGAGAAATACTGTCGATTCCTAAATATACGTGAGGAATTAATTATCACGTAATTTCGCGAGTAGCTCCATGCGCAAAATAAAATTACTCGCATTTATTTTTATGGAGCTGAAATCCGTATAAAATCTATTGATCAACCGTCCACCCGCGATTTAATATTCTTGCGATTTGACGTCTAAGAGTCATTTCGCAATACATGTATTAAGTTCTCGCGTAAAATAAAGAATCTACAGTAGTCCAAGCTTATACCTAACCCAAATGTTGCATATGACTGTTGATACATGTACATGTATTACAAAATAATTTTTGCATTGTAGGTAATCTTTATTCCTAAATTGGCTGGTGCATATGTAGCTGAACTGTTGATCCATTCCCACAGATTTACCCAGGATAGGGCAACTGGATCTACATCTTATCCCACAGTGGTCACAATCCAGGCAATAGCAGAAAAACCCAAGATTGAGGTAACTTAGGACAATGTTTTAACCATACTGGTCAACTTTCTAGACCTAGAGAAATGTCTTAGAAGATAATCTCATTCATGTATGAATTTCTACATGTCAATTTCATTTGAGGTCGCTATAAGCAGGTAACACAATTCTAATTTGGACAGGTCCATGGCTATGGTTTGGAGAATCGAGTGCTGAACTTTGGCCAGGTGACCTGGGGGAGTTGTAAATCCCTGACCCTGGGGATTGTTAATTATGGACAAGCCTCTCTCCCACTCAGGCTCTCCATCTCATGTGTAAGTATATGTTCATGTATAAAATTAAAAAAAAATTACTGTATAGGGGGATTAAATTTGTAGGTGTATAATTTTACATACTTGTCTAATATTATCCTTTGACACCTATAATCATGGGTGTTTGAATTCAAGCAAATATAAAGTATGTTTTTAATGTTGAACATTTTTTCTTCTTCTTAAATTCTCCACATTATTAGGAGCACAAAGATACATGTAGTTAAAATTAATACAATGTGTTATTTCCCCCCTGTGTAGTATAAATCATATTCATGGGGGGAAAAAACTAAATATTGTTTACCAAAAATGTTATGTCTTGTTACTCAGTGCATGAGTCCTATGCATGTACTTCTTATGTAAATTTGTCTGTATCCCTTCATACATTGTAACTTCAATTTACTGTCAGATGACATAACGAATGTTTTTAATATCTTTCTGTTTCAAGATGTTAAAATACTGGACTGTTAATAAAATTCTAGTGGATCAAAGATAGATTCATATTACATTTTGTGTATTGAATGCTTTTTGCTTCAGCAAATTACTTTATTTTTAGAACCGTATGATTTATCTAATTAACAAAGAATGAGGTAGACCAAGTGTGCTTATTGTTCCTATTTGAAAAATGACTCAAAGAACAATACATTAGTTCATAATTAAACACTGATAATTGTGCATGTTAATATTTAAGACTCAAATCTTTTAAAAAAATGAAGGAAAAAAATTGATAGTATACTTAAAGGTTAGTTGAAGGCTGGAAATTTGCTACTTAAGGATTTCCTCAGTTTCATTGATTTTCCATGGATTTAGAGCTACATGTACATGTACATTTCGCTGTAGTGCACCAATTATAAAATTTACAGCATTCTCTGAACAAGTATTCATGACATGTACAAGGGCTTATAAAGTTCTTGGACTGGTGTCATAAAAAGTACATCAATGAAGTTTTACACATTTATTCAGCATCATCTTTTCTGTCTACAGATTGAACTTTAAGACATATGGTTATCTTAAGTTCAATTGTCAGTGTTTTTATAATTGATATTAAGACCAACCTCAAAATACAAAGGATTTCTACCATGAGTGTAATGGAAACAAATATTTTTACATGTATAAGCATTTGTTGTCCAAAAATGTTCATTCACTCGTGTGATGTGACGCAAATCTGAAATTTTACAACTTTTACCTTATTTTTTAAGTTTTTGACATCGTTAATTAAATAGATAATGCTTAAAAAAATTATTGGTTAAAAATGACTGCAAGGGGGGTTTGTGTGTGTCTTTTTGCAGAAATTTTATTTTCACTTTGGAAAAAAACTCCCATAGACCTTGGAAATGTTTGAAAATGCCAGAGAAAAGAAGTCTTAGATTACCTGTTTTTAAATGGCACAAAAGATTCAGAGAGAGGAGAGACACATTAAATGCTGATTTGGGGTCAGGTTGTCTTTAAGTCAGTCATATCAAAAAGTAACTCTGCTCGTGTGTGGTAAAAATTGAACAACAAGTGGATTAAGCTGACAAAGTCAAGATATTTATCTTTTGTATAGATCTATTTACAATTTTGAATTTTGATATCAGCTGTTCTTGAAATTTTAAAGTCAAGATGAATTAATACCAGAGTAGCCAAACAATAAAAGTGTACTAAGGCAGAGGAGCAGAAATTGAAAAAGCAATGATATTGTCGAACACCACAAAGGTCAACATGACAGCGTCTGGTGATCAATTTATGTCTCAGATGGACATTTTTAAACATATCAAACTAAATTTTAAACACTTCTCTGGTTTTTTGTTGTTGTTTGCCTTCATAGTATTCATTTTATTGCATCAGTCCACAAACTTTTTGAAAACCCCCTTGTACACCTTGTATATGTCAGCAAAGATATGCTCACTTGTGCTCAGAAATATTCCCATATCAGAAAGATTCTAAAATTCTAATCATAACAAAATTAGGAAAGTTGTCCTATTTTGTCACCTTCTTATAACCTTTGTGTATGCTGTTAATTCAATTCAGTATTGATTTTAATGCAGGTATCACTTTTTGTTCAGAAATACAAACTGTGATAATTTTAGCTGTTTTGATTTTTTTGTCAAAAAGAGAGTCTTTACTATACCTTGTTATTAATGGTACCAGTTAATGTAAGACAGACAATTTCTTCTATCATTGTTTTTGATACCTCTGATCTGTTTGCCTTTATGATTATATGAATTCTATTAAATCTGATACTATTGCTGGTGATTTTCAGACTAAGAACCTTGGCGTTGTAGGTATCTTTAGTGGGTGCTGCACTTCTCTATATTGTGCACTCGTCATATTTACCTAGCATTTCATTGTATACTTCCCTTCCCTTGTCATATTGTGTGATTTATAACAGAATTTTGAGATTCATGTATTCTAAGATTTGACCAAAGTAACTGCTTCAGCAGCTTTGTTGTTTATTTCTCTGTACTTTTCCTGATAAACTGTCTACTGCTTTTCAAGCAAAAAAAATTGTTAGTAATTCTTGTACAACTTTTACATATAAGTAGCAGTTCGTTAATTTATTTGTATTCATGGAACATTTCATGATCCTGAATTTCCTTCATCACATTTTTCTATCATTTGAAGGTTTTCTAATCCAACACAAACTTGAGAAGTACTAAAAAATAAATAAGCAAATTTTCAAATAAAGAATTGACTAATAACACACAGACTAACAATTTCTGTATATTTATCATTATGGAGAATGTAAATTTTCTTCTTAGTCTTTGAATATGTAGTTATTGTATGTCAATTTAAACTGATTGTACATGATTTAGCAAGTAATTAATAATAAATTTGTGTGCATCTCTGGCAGAATAACATCCCTTGGCATTGCTTCTCCTTTGATCGTAATGGACAGAATTCCACACTGGGAGATATCTCCATCATCTCTAGGAGTAGCCGCCCACAATCTCCTGCATTAGGAAAGACGGTCGTCACACTATGCATCCCGGGACGGTCAGCAAAGGATTCTGGGATCACTGAACAGGAAGTAAGAGTCTGGTGTCGACCACCAGACAAGAGAATAGACAGAGGTATTTTGTACTTATAGTACATTCCTGAAAGTAAATTCTGTTTCATGTCTCATTTTGCTTTGCTGTTTAAATAAGAGGCTTTTATGTTAGCCTTAGTTGTAAATTGAGAACTATCGATTTTATTCACAGCATTGGCTCAGAATCCTCCTGATGAGATGACAGCTCGGATTGACATTGATGTGGACACACCCACAGCTAATATCCCTCCCCTTAGAACAATAGACTTACAAGCCATAGTGGGGGTAGCTAGACTTCACATCCCTAAATACCTTGAAATGCTCAAGTTGGAATCCACAGTGAGACAGGCTGCTAGGGATTCTATAGCATTGAAGAACTATGGGAATATAGATCTAAATGTGTCCTTAAGTATTCCAGATCATGAGGATTTATTCAGAGTCCGTCCAAAACAAATAACAATCCCTCCAGGACAGGAAAATGAGGTAGTGGTGGAGTTCTTCCCCTTGGAATCTGGGATAAAATCACTAGAAAGGTAATCTTGCAATAAATTTTCCCATTAAACATGAACCTACTCTTATTAAGTAGAAAAAAAAATCTGTTGAATGAATATGATGTGATCAGAGAGCTTTCATTAAAGGAAGGATATATTTCAAACTAACATAACAGTGTTTCTAAAAGATAGTGAAAGGATACATGTATATGATACATGTACATATCAGAAAAAAATTTGCAATAAAAGCAGAACAGCAATTTATGTTTATTTACCTATCAATGTATTAGTTATTTCATTATCAATTGTCTTCATTTAATGAGCATGAGCTTATTCTTTGTCTTTATACTATATATTTGTTGATTGTGTTTCAGTGTTCTGTTGATGAATGTGGAGCCTGATGGACCTCTGTATGAGCTCCCAGTTCTGGGTAGTGTGGTGGCCAAGAGGCAGTCTACTCCTATAGTCCTCAGTGATAGGTGTTTCATCTACTTTGGTGGTGTGGGTATTGGAAAATCTATGTAAGCATCACTTTGTAAATGTTTTCTGTTATGCAAATCCGTGTACTTAAAGTTCATAAATCTAAGCACATGTATGTGCAGTCCCCCCCCCCCCCCCCCATTTAATATTTTTATACATTTACTTGTTCAATATACATCATTGGTTTCTTAATACCTTAAAGTGTTTATCATTCTAGGGAAAATAAGTTCCGGTTGAAAAATCAAACACAGTATCCTCTGAAATTAAAATTGGAAGTTAGAGATGAAGCACATGTTTTCAAGGTAAAATATTCCTTCTATTGAATCAGATGTCACTCCTTTGATTTCCTGTTCCATACAAATGAAAAAAAAAATTCTAGCATTTTTAGGTACTTGTATGGATGAAATGTACATACAATGTATTTTATATATAGCATTTAAACTTTTCTTTGGTATTTCAGCTGAGAACATCATCTATTCAGTCTAACAGTTTAACAGAGATAAGAGATGTCATTATCCAACCTCTAGAGACCTACCCTGTATATGTTACCTACTCCCCTCTCTCGGCAGCACTGAACTCGGGGAAAATTGTCATCAAACCATACGATACAGCTTACAAGTTCTCTGTAGGTGATTTAAGCTCTTAAAAGCAAAATATGTAACAGTAACCCACTGTGCCCAATAGAAATACTGTAAACCAATGATTATCATGATTATTTATCACAACTTTTATTCACAATTTGTAAGTTAAAATCTATAATTTTTGTGATTGAAGAAATATTCTACATGAATAAAAAGTGAAATAAGTAGTTCATGGAGAGAAATATTTGTGAGTAAGGGAATGTCGCGAAACTCGACAAAATTTTTCGTGAATGATGGTGGTTTACAGTAATTAATGTGCATTTGCTTTTTAAGTTTGAATACTGTATACAGAGAAATTTTTGGCCTTTCCGCCTCGTTTTAAGTAGGCAAATTTAAAACAGGGTGAATTCAAGAAAGACAGCATTATTTCTTAAACACAACAGAGTCTGAGCAAATTTAAAATGGGGCAAAATCGTTTTCAAGTGCAAAAATAACCAGGGGGGGGGGGGGGATAAACCTGTTTACAGTATTTATTGAAATAACAGTATTCTAAGCTGATATATACATAAATAATTGTATCAAAGTAGAGACAAATTGAGTGTTTTAAATATTGTAGCTGAATTTTTCCCCCCCTTTAGAGACATTAAGAGGTGTATTAATGTTCATTTATCTTTTAAAAATTACAAAGCTACATTACTTTTTATGAAATATTCAAAATTGATATATATCTCTGACATTGCCTGTCAGGTCATTGATAATTTCTAGGATGACATGTTATTTGTACTACACAGATGTATGTAATCAAAGATACATGTACCTATCATGGTTTATTTATTGCATGTGTAAGATGACATGTTGTTTATATAATTACCATAGATACCTGTGACTGGTTATGGAGGAGTTGGTAAGCTGGTTGTAGAGGGAGCCAGCATTGCTGACATGAATAGATACTGTCTGGACATGGGGGATATTTCACTGGGACAGGAGACTGGAGAAAAAATTATTGTACGGAATGTCGGGTCAAGACCAGTCTTTGTCAAACTAATGGCCTACACAGGTTTGTATGATTAAAAATGTTTGATATTCATCTTTTTCTATGGGATTGGGGACACAGTTCTCAAAATAAGAACTGTAGATATAATCACAGTGTGGCTTACATTTAGTTCACCTCTGTGTCATTTCAGGGTCACAGTGTAGAAAGGATAATATCTCTAGTAAAGTGTTGGTGGAACCCAGTGAGTTTGTCCTAGAACAAGAGGGAACAAAGGTATATTTTGCCAATTTATTTTGCAAACAAAGATCAAATGTTATGGGATATAGATACATACATGTACAGGTAAACTTCGTTATCTTGACATCGATGGGACCATCGGAAAATGTCGAGATATCCGAGGTGTCGAGATATCAGAGTTGAGACTTGACGTCCAAGATTTCACTGCATAACCAAACACATACATGTGTATAAGCTTATCATAAGTACATGACTTCAATATAGACTGTAGGTCAACTTATTTCAGCAATCCCTCTATTTTTATTAAAAATCTAAGAAGTTATTTTTAAAAATTTTATTTATAAAGCCTGTTCTTTCTCTTTATCGAAATCATTCTAAATTTTTGTAGTTTTCCATCCAGCATTCGCGTGTTACTTGATTTTTGTCAGAACAGGATACGAAATGCGCTCTATAAACTTCGAACCGAACCGTATAAACATGATAAAGTCGACATCCGAGATACTAAAACATAATTAAATGCGTAATTATTTTTTTTTCTTATTTCATTTAGGAAGAATGTGCATTAATATTAATTTTTTAAGAGATTTGTGTATCTGAACTAACGTAGTGATATTACAGATGCATGAATTACGGATGATTCGGTTAATCGTGTCGTTAATCGGATTATTTCCTGTTCAATGCATTTTAAGTACAAAATATTATTAGAACATCGTTTAATTCTTTAGTTTGAATTTATTCAATATGTTTATTATTCTTTGTAATTTAGTTATCTTTTTCAATTTTAAAAGTTATGTTAGGTTTCGACATAAATAAACACCTGTAAATTTAAGCAGAATCGTGTAGATTTATCAGTGATATTACCCAAACTGAACATTAAGCAATTAACGTTTCAAAGACGCCGAGGGGGCTTTGGATTCACCTACAAACACAGCCTATAGAATTAATTAAGCAGCATGCAGTCATAACATGGGTGTGAAAGGTGTGAATTTTTGACGACGTCGAGATACCCGGAGCCGTCCGTGCGTGACGAGCGACCCTATCTGACAAACAGTTAGGTTCAGTGGAGCAGAAAATTGCCGATGTCGACATATACCAGGTAAATTTTGCTTTTGGGACCGTGAATATACGTCGAGATAACCAGGGTTGTCGAGATTACCGAGGTCGACATATCAGAGTTTTTGCAAATCATTTATATAGTAAATACTGCCGGGACCGCGGACGGACGTCGACATATCCCAGGTTGTCGACATATCCGATGTCGAGATACCGAAGTTTACCTGTACTTTCTTCATAATACATGTGTATGTAGTTACATTGTAATTTGTTATATCTGTATTGTGTTGTATTGTTTTATCTGTATTGTATTGTACTGTATTGGTGTTATTATTTTTTTTATTGGCAGTCTGTGATAATTGTGTTGAACCCTTCTGATCGAGAGACATCACTGTGTACCAACAGCAAACAAATTGTGTCTACAGTTGTGGCCTTTTATGGTGACGAAATTTCCAGGCAGCGATTTAGAAGGTTTGGATCTTAACAAGATTTTATCTACGGATTGCTCTGATATTTTACATGTGATTCAATGAATTCTAAATAATACTACTTCAGTTTTGAGACTTACAGGAAGGTTCCTTACTATTCTTATTTCTCATCAGGGCCTTGAGATCTTCAGCAAAACCTTACAAACCAAGCTCTTCTATTGATGCATTAGCTCTGACACTCAATCTGAATCACGCCTTCCCAGATGAGAACTTGGTTCCTGAATTCCCAGGTATTGTCCTTAATAGTACTATAGTATAGATCTCTTGTTATTCCTTCCTTTTTGTCTTATTTTAAAAAGATTTACAAAGTTTATTACTTTGCTATTATTTTTATAATTTTCAATAGCCTCTTGATATTCTTCACTGAGGATTTATCTTATTTTCAGCACCCCAGGAAGTGAATATGAATTCCCTGATTGACACATTTTACAACTCCATGTCCAGGCTATATATAGCTCTTGTAGGATCACCCTCAGAACTCTCCCTCACTAAAACTCCACAGATTCATCACTCTGGAAAATCTCCCATCAGTGTAAAGAAAGGGTTTAGAACCAGTGGCAGTCTGACTGGAATACCCTCCAAAGATCCCAACAGGTAAATGGGACTTCTATCTATAATTCTTATTACCGTAAATTTTGGAAGATAGGACGATACTTTTTTTCTCAGAACCGCTGGGGTAGTCCTATTTAACGAATCGACCTATCTAAGACTCAAGTTTACGAAAAATGCCCCAAAATCAGTAAAATATAGTCAATTTTATAGCAAATCTGTGCCATTTTCGTATTTTTTAAAAATTTTTTACCGAGAAAAAAATAATAAACAATAAAGAATTATATATTTATTCCATTGATTTCTTTTAAAAAAAGTTCCATTAAATATCCGTTGATGTACAAAAAAAACTTATTATGTAGTAAATAATGTCTCAAAAGATATTTACAACATGCTGTGTCCATCTTGTGGAGTTGGAAGTCGCAATCGTTTACTAAAAATAAAACCGCAACCGTATCAACGTTTAAAATACGGAAGAGTTTTCACAATCGCAATTGTAATCTTTATTTTTACCATTTATTTGTACCAATTAATTGAAATAGTATACCTGAATATTTTTTCATTGTCTTGTGATATTTATTTAAATGTAAAATGCGTGAAATAAATTGTTACCAGTAAATTCCTAAAATTATTTACCAAATATACCGCTAGTCATAACTATTTTGTTTTATATCCCAAGGGGTACACTGAATTATACAAAGATTGGCTTCTAACAGAATTTTAATTGTGTGACAGATAAAGGGATATATACTGTGTATACAAAGGTGTTAACACCTGTGTTGGTTTAAACACCTGCGGGGCATGATTAACAGATCCACGTGCCATTACAGGGGTATTAGTGTTATACATCATTGAACAAACAAAACTGTGAAATTCCTGATGACTGTTAAATTGCGAATGTACTCTCAATTATATTTATTTTTTACAACAATATCTCAAGCAAAATTATAACATGTAACAGTATAGTTTTTATGCTTAGATTAATATTTGATTTGGAAGGTAAAGTGCTAGTGAGCAATATCAAATGAAATCTCCATTTTGATGAGATCTTTAACATTTCAGTACTGAATATACACTCAAACTTTTATGTACATGTATAAGAGATACCTGTATACACACATGGCATGTACACATTTTTTTTGTGTACATTTGCAAGATATGTCATCTATCGGACTTCGTACTGTTTCTCACATGTTAAATCATGTTCATTTCTAGTCTTAACTGTCAAGTTACTGTTCTGTACAGTCAGAGAATTCATATCATTCTGTGCAAAGAAGAAAAATAAATGGCAGTAGTTGCAAACAGATTCACTAGTAAGAAATAAATTTCTTTGCAGGTGTATATCTCCCCATAGTAATACCACGCCTTTACACAACTCCCCTTTGTTTGTACCGGAAGAGGAGGATAAAGACTGGACGGTGAAACCTACACAACTTATCTTCAGAGTCTCTAGTAAGCATATATTTCTTCATTAGTTTAACAGAGATACAATAGCTTCAGTAGTTTGTCAAATTCAAACATATATACTGAATGTGATCAAGTAAAACATTTTTTGACAAGTGAAATGATGAGTGAAACATTGTTTTTGTGAAGAATTAGGACTTGTTTATTTCAGAAGAAGGAAAGCTTCCGATCCTGAAGTTTCAGATCAGTAACTTTCAAAGCAAGTCAATTTCGTAAGTACATTATTGGAAAATATTTACATTTGTAAATATTTTCCCTTATATACATGTAACATTATTTGAGCAATTCATATTTATCACTGCATATATACATGACAGATGTGCTGCCTCTAGGTAAGTTTGCATACAGCTAACATGATGAACAAAAGTGTAATGATTCCTTTATTCAATCAGGTGAAAAACTGCAAATGAAAACCAAAATAACATGTAGAAATTATCTATAACTACATAAAAAGATACAAAAGATTTACAACAGCCAATTATTCTCGCACATAACCAACATGAAAGTTATCACTTAATTCGTGTGACAGAAAATGCGCACCATACATTGACAAAATCAGCCCTCAGTACATAACAGCTCAAATTTGCATTTATGAAGCGGCACATAACAAGAATGGCTTTAAACTGTTACACATCATAAAAATAATTATCAAAACATGTTTGCAAACTTACACTGTCGTCTGATAGAGACAAAACAGCCAAATTTCATGGATAAACAACTTGCTGATCTCCACACAGGAAATATGAAAGCGAGAGTAAAATTAGAACTATAACGAATAAATTCCGGATTGAGTTCCGGCACAACAGATGATGACAAATTTATTGTTAGTCATAAACGGTTGTCTTAATTTCACTGTGACATCAAGTGGTCAACATGCTCAACACAATCAATTTATACCTTGAGGTTTGAAAAAAAACATTTCATGGGTTCCAAATTATGATACACAAACGTGCTATATATCAGTCACAAATGTAAATATAAGTATTAAGGTATCATGTTTAAACATCCATCAGGATATGAATACTGGTTGATAGGTAATCAAATCTACAGAAGAGCCCTTCAAGCTTTATGGGATTTGATCACGTGACCAACTCATATTTATATCCTGATAGATGTTTAAAAATGAGAACTACCTTGTTTCTTAAAGAAGGGAGAAATACATGTATTACAGTTTTTATACATGTAGGTATATATTCAAGTAATTACATTATTGCAACAGAAACATAAAATCAGTAATTACAGCACTTTTATTCAATATTTTACAATTTATTTATTAGATATGAGTTGACATGGCCAGGCCAGAAGTTAAAATTGACTCCTGAGGGTGGAGTTGTTGGGCCTAAGTAAGTACTTGACGTGCACCAATCTCACTGAATGAACATGCACTGAAAACTACATGTAATTATATGTATTTTACTGCAATATATAAATTCTTCGTTTTCTTTAAATGTACTTATTTACCAGGGACAAAGTGACCGTGTGTATCAGTCCAAGTCCAACTGTGTACAAGTTAATTAATGAACTTCCATGGAGTGGATGTGTCCATGTCTCCTGTGGTCAGAAAACCAAGGTTTCTTCATTACTTTAAATGTTAAAAGAAAAAAAAAATTCTCACATTATACCGGTAATCAAGAGGGTAGTTTTAATGATCATGACTTTGCTATTACAGAAAGTGCAGGTCCAGATTAGGACGGAGCTGGAGGACAGCCAGCCGGCCCTGACTCAGACCCTTGTCCCGGTGTTCAGACACACTGTTGGCCCTACAATCAGTCTGCCTTACGAGTCCAGCATAGGGAGTATGATGCAAACCTCGGCTCATAAGATTGAATTCCCCATCACCAAAGTTGGAGAACAATCTGGTAATGGAACTCTTCTGTGTTGTAGTTATATTATATCTATATACATGTACATGTAGTTTATTATTGAATATTATTTGATTTTGATTTTCACAAGCAATGACGTGTTTGATATTGTAAAAATTAATTGCTTAATAATGAAACATTGTAGAGACCAGCTTTGAACTAACTAACACTTCTGATGAACCCATGCAGTGGATTGTCTCCTCTTTTGCCCCACCATATGTCAAGGTACTATCTTTGGTTTCTAATACGTCTAGTGTACTTTTATTTACTGATAAAATTCACTTTCACATAAAACAAGTTACCTTTTGATCTTTAAATTCACAGAACACCAGGCACTGCTTTCAAGTAAACATGCTGAACTATATTAAAAATTTTCAGATTATATTTTATATTAAAATTGTATCTTTATATCAATGTTCTGTAACTTGTACTTTTTTGTTACTCAGAAATTTTGTCACAGAAAATGGCCATTTTGCACTACTTTTCACACCATACTTTTCATATATGTTCTATAAATGTTTTTTGAGATTTTTACACACTGTGCACTTAAACTTCACAAGAACACACTCATATTTTTATGCCAGGTTTTAAGTTGTCCATGTAATATTGTTTTATGTCAGTACTGTCACTATAACTTTGAGCAGGGGGCAGACAGTACTAAAGATGTTTTCCGAGTCATGTATAAAGTTTTTGACTTCACCATCAAGTCAGGCAGTTTACCACCAGGAAAGAGTGCTCAGGTAGACAAAGGTCAAAGGTCAAGCCTTTGTGTAACTGATGAAAATAGTAAATTCTAGTTAAGTCATTCATTGTTTGATGTAAGAATGCTTAAGGAAGTATAGTTTAATGAAACATTTTCCATTAATATCCTTTAATCTTCCTATGACTAGAAATTTATTTATCAAAAAATGGTGGGAGAATTATTTTCTATCTATTATAATTAATGTAGGTAAATGTCGAGTTTATGCCGAGATCTAAAGGAACTTTCACACAACACTGGGATGTACAAAGTGCAAAGGATAAACCAGTCCGATTGCAACTCACAGGGGAGGTAACTTAAATGATTTTTCTGTTATTTAACATACAAGTAGATTTATTATCTCTTTTGATGTAAAGTGCTTGAGAAATCATTTCAGAAAATACCAAAAATTATCTTTTTTGTAGAGCATTGCTAATGATGATGTGCCTGGTAGTCAGTTGTCTTCATACAGAGAAGACGCTACAGAGAGATTTCAGGAAACTGGCCACAAAACACATAGAAAGTAATGTTCTTGGTGTTGATTCATAAACATCTGAAGTTTAAAATTAGTGTCAGTGTTGGATTATATATGTATGAACAAAGCCCTGAAATAACTTGCCAAGAAAATCCTGCAAAATCGTGAATGAGACAAGTGTATAATGTGTGTATCAGTGTTTTGTTGTTTTGAGTAGTTTCTTTTGTATTGTCAGGAGTAAGGATGATAGACCAGTGATTCTGAAGAATGAAGAGCTGAGGTTCCTCCCCTGCTCAGTGGGTCAGTCACAAGTGGCCAAGTTACAGATCGCCAACAACTCCTCATCACCACAACCAGTAAGTAATCAGATAAAGTGTGACATTGTAAAGTTTATATGTAAAATTTTAAAATAATTTGTACATCACATCTACGACATGTGAATAAGATATTGAACTGAGGAGTTCTTGCTACTAATTGTAATGTTGGAGGTAATAAAGTCAGCAGAAAGTATGCAATATCATTCCTGGAGAATTTTACTTATTAAATTTTCGCAAATTGATATGAAATTAGCATTTGATTCTTTTGTAAATTATGAATATTGTGGTTCAGGACAAAAGAGGATCTTTGATGTTGAATGGTGAGATGCATTTAAGCTAATGTTGAACTTAGATGGGATGTTTCCATGTAAAAAAAAAAATGGTCATGCTATCATTTTTTTCCACAGATTGAGGTGATACCCCCACAGCCACCATTTTACGTGAAGCATATGAGATTTGAAGTGAAGTAAGTGTGATCAGCGTGCAGCATCTACAGTGTACCAGACCCCCCCCCCCCCCCCCCCATAATAATAATATGATTGTGCATTATGAGTACATGTGTTCTTTAGTATTCAAGCAGGGAATATATTATTCCACTGAGGATGAAAGCAGAAATTAACAAAAGATAGGGAAGGGGTGGGGGATTTTGTAGGGTCCAGTATTTTTCAGTGAATTTTATTCAAAATAGCTTTTATAATGTATTGGAAATGTACACTTTTAATATACAATATTTTAATGATTACCTACATTTGACACTAGTAGTTTTCTTGCAGTTGACATCCAATTATACAAATATACATGTACAAATATATATTTATACAGGAGTAAGAAGTACCTTATGCTCCCTGTGGAATTTCGACCTTCAGAGCCAAACAATTATGAGGGACTGATCGTGTTGAAAACCGGAATGGGGTATAGTTTGAGTGGCAAGTTACTTGGTCAGTGTTCATCATAACAAGCCCATCAAAGATATTAGAGGGAGATAAACATAACAACTAGTTTCAAGGACATTGTAGGAATTTGTTATGTGTTTTATAGAAAGGCTTTTGTCTCATTCTTCCATTATAAATTACTGATTTAATATATTTATGAAGAAGCTTTAAGATAGATGTAGATACTTGTACATGGATTTGAATCATGGATTGCCAAGTTCATTTGCTATTTTGAAATGTCCATTTTATGAATATTTTTCAATACAATGAAATTGATAATAAGATATTGTGTAAATAATTTGTCAGAAAATTGCATCAGTTGAACTTTGTTTTACATGGTTTGTTGACTACTTATATGTACATTTATATTATATCTAATATGATTGGTGTGGCAGCTTCCAATAGGCTCTATTTGCTACTTTCAAATCTGTTGTCCAGTTTCTCATTTACTTCAGGTGCTGAATGTTACCTACTTTGCATTTAAATATTTATCTAGAATTAGAAGCATAATCATTTTTTTTAATATTATTTTGTTATTAAATGTTCTATCCTGTAGGTTGTAAGTCGTAGGATATAAACATGTACATGTATTTATCTTTTGATTTTCGTTATATAGTTTTGATTACATTTTCCTTAGACAAAATTTCTCTCAAAAAGCTTGTTGTTTGTGTAAACATGAAAGCATGACAGTGATAGGTTCTGTGATAAACATGGTGCTTCATTAGTGAAAGCATTTACATTTCTTAAAATCTGAGAGAGAGAGAGAGAGAGAGAGAGAGAGAGAGAGAGAGAGAGAGTTGACTAAATTTTGTGGTAGAGAGAGAGAGAGTTGACTAAATTTTGTGGTAGAGAGAGAGAGGAGAGAGAGACTAAATTTTATGGTACAAAAATTCTCCTTGACTAGTGTTGTCTAATTTTTCAAAATATCTGAGTAAACCTTCATGTGTTCACAGACATACCTCAGTGACATTCAGTATTGTATAGGGTAGAATCAAAAATACTTATAGTGGATACAGTTATTTAAATAATGCAAAAAAAAGAAAGGATTGGACAGCAGGCATTAGATGTCTGTTTAATCTATCTCCATGTATACAGTAAAATAAAATAGTCAAGAAATGAAAACAAAAAACAAGGTAAAGCAGAATTCTCAACTACCAGTGATAATTTTTCTTAGCTAGTCCTATCAAAGTGTGTGTATGAGAAACTTATGGATATAAAATATTGAAACTTTTATGTTGATCTAAGATCTCTAAATGTTTAGTAAAAACGACCTATTTATTATGATATTTAAAGTGAAGTAACACTTTGTAGAACATGCTTGTATATTTATAAGGTTGAAAGACTGAAAATAAATAGAATTACACTTGATTTGTTTTCCATCATTATTTTATAGGTGTTCAAATTTAAAAGTCTAAGTCTTTATTTGATGGGGATATTGGATTCTCTCAGACATTAGTTGGTTTGCTTGAACAAGTTTGACCCAGTGATTGATGTCTTACCCTTACAGCATTAATCTTCACATTAGTTGTAAATCAGGCCTTCAAGTGGATTTTGATCCAAGAAAACGGCTTTCTATTGGATCAAGTTTCTTTATAAATGGAGTAAAATAGGGCAAATTTGTAATTTATAGGGAAATTCAAAGGGATTTTTACATGAAATGTATGGAAATTAAGGTACATAAAATGAAATCATACAAGGAATACACATTTAATCAAGACTTGAAGATGACTGCACTTGGGGAAACCAAGACAGCTTTGTTATTACTTTAACAACCAAGATTAGGGAACATTAGTAATGATTAGGACACCTTGATAATGGATACCAACTACATCAATGTTTTGAAATATGATATCACCATGTAGATACAAGACTGATCTAAGGTCTTATTATTTTTATATGATTTTTTTTTTCAAAGAAAATGGAAAAAAGTTTTGGTTGCAAATTTCACCTTGACCTATGAGTGACCCCAAATGTCAATGCAGTGAAGTTTTGACTATGTTCAAACCATAGCTCTAAGTGTTGGACCAAAAAACAAATATGTGAAGAAAAAATTCCTTTAACATTGTACTTTTACAAAAAATGTTTAATTCCTGTACTGACTATATCTTCTAACTGTGAACATTAAAAGCTCATACTTACCATAAAGACTGCTTATGACCAGATGGTAAGCACTGACCTTGACCCTAGTTCATTCCAGCAAGTTTAAGGTCACTGGCAAATAAAAAGTATTTACATGTCCATTCCATATGTCTCTAGACTAATGGAGGCTAATTGGAAGTTGATACTTGACACAAAGATTGCTTACGATTTAAGGGTGTGTCATGATCTCAGGCAATTTTGTCACTGAAAAACAGTGTTAAGTCTGTGTCCTGTAACTTTCTAATGGGAAAACACTGGAAGTTCATACTTCACATATACATTACTTATGTCCTGAAGGTGTGTCATGACCTTGACCCAAGGTCATTTTGTTAAGTTCAATGTCACTCACAGAAAAATCATAAAATTTGTATCCAATTTCATAATTTTCTCAAGGATAAGTATTGGAAATTGATACCTTAACAAAGATTACTTACAGATGAGGGTATGACATAACCTTGACTCAAGGTCATTCTGGAAAGTTTTCACTGGTAGAAAAAGTGTAAAATTTATGTCAGGTCTTTAACTTTCTAATGGAGAAAATTTGATGTCCATATACCACTAAAAGATTACTTATGACTAGAGGATTTTTTTAACCAAGGTTATTTTGGCAAGTTCTAGGTCATATTTAAAAAAATGTATATGGTCACTTAAAAAAAAATGCAGCAGGGCCATCTTCGAAAAATTGTTTACCTTCTCCCAGCTGACTTTCTCTGGACTCAAACTTTTTTAAATCTCCAGGAAACCATTATTTTTTTTATTTTTTCAAGATTTTTTTCATCCTGAAAACAACTATATTTTGTTAATACATTCAATTTTAATATATTTTGAAAATTAAGAATTGATGTTGAAAATTTCTGAAAATTAATGTTTTTTTCCCTACCTACCTACCCAATTTATTTTATCCTGAGTCGGGTGAGGGCAAGCAAACATTTTTTAAAGATGCCCCAGGGGTTATAATTTTGTGAGCTTACTCAGAGCAACTAGTTTTTTCTCTAGGAACAAGGATAAAACTTGTCAAAACTTATCAGCAGTATTATGATAATGGCCTTGTGTGAATTCAAAGAACAAAGTATGTTATTGGCTGTATACACCTGAGAAATTTTACTATTTTACAACTACTATATTTTGTGCAAGTCTTTTATGTTTCGTTTACAATGGGATCAAAACTAATGCTAACCTTGTATGAAAATGACGTAATATGCAATAGTAACATCGGAAAGCCACAGCCAAACACCAGGTGCTCAGCAAAATTCATTTATTTTTTATAAAATATCAGCAAACTTTGATTAAATATTTTCCCATGTATAGACCACTTTTATATTTTGTATGTTAAATTGTTAGCTAAAAACTCCCTTCCATTATTAAATTCGTGTTGGTTAATGAGTGGGAACGGTATACACTTTTTAAAAATAATTAGTCCGGAAATAAATATGCATTGTTAGCATTTATGCTTTTACGCAATTTTATGATGAACAGCTGTATATCATGAGATCACAATTAATCTCTGCCTTCTGGACTGTGCAAGGCTACTATTGGGTTCTAAAGATTTACAACATGTCTTATCAGTAATACTAAGTAGAAGGCTTTGCAGGTGACCACTTAGGCCCATGGGCCTCTTGTTCTACAAGACTTCGGTATATAATAAGAAATAAATATTTAATTAATATCAAGGATTTAGGTCCTGATATGATATTCATTCCTCATATTAGTGATTGTCAGATTTGTCAACATCATATTTTTTTGATTGATTTGAAATTTCCTCCAATCGTACATGTTGATATTTTTTTTCCTGTTGTGAATCTCAATTTAAATGAAGCAAACTGAAGCACTTCAACAAAAAGATTATTTAATTCGTATTTATTTATTTATTATTAACTTTTTTTTTTGCTTTCAAAACTTCTATGTATAAAATAATTATTGTAACACAAAAAAATTTGACATTAAACATGATGTATATCTCATGAACATATCTCTCTCAAAAACTGGTAGAATTTAATACAAAACTTGCTGTAAATATGCATTCTCTGTAAATAAAATTACAATACATGTACAAAAGAAAATCAATCTCAGTTTCATAAAGTGTGTACTCCCCTATTAGTAAATGCATGGGAAAATTGAGGTAAACAAGAAAAATGTTATGTCCCTTCAAAGAAGCAGGGACATATTGTTAAAAATGAATAATTTGGTATACATCTCCTTCTATATCATATATCATCTAACCAGTATTGGAAAAATGTTTTACTTCAAAACAATCATTAAACAATCACAGGAAATGTGGGCATTACTACAAGACCATCCTTCTTCATTTTCAGATACCAGTAAGTAGGTCAAAGGTCACCCATAAATACCCCAAAAAGGTTAAAAAAAAATTTAATAAAATTCTAGTGAGGATCAATCAATCTCGATATAGATAATTTAAAGGAAAAAACATTAATGTTTACAAACATTTTTAGTTGACACAAACTTAGAAATATTGGCATTCTTTTTATTAATACCCCCCCCTTCCCCAGAAAAAAAGAATCTTTTTCATCACTCTGAATTTTTCGGCAAAAAGGATTCATTTTAGTGGATGTTTCAGTAACAGTGGTGGAAGAACCATGACACTATTGTATTTCAGCATGTACAGTAAAACTTGTCTAATCTGAACATTACTAGTTCTGTATAAATTGGGCAAAAAAGCAACATTATAAAGAACTGAATTTAATGAAAGGGACTTAAAGTTTATATCATATTAGACAAGATTTCGGAATATACAACATCCAGATTAGACAAGTTTCACTGTAGTAGTGTGGCACATATATTATGTAACTTTAAGTACATGTAAATGAAAAAATAATGAAGGGTTCTCTGTTAGTAATGTGAGTAGACATAATGGAAAACAGATAAGGATGTCATAGCAGGAAGAGGGGGCCAATGCGTGGGTGTTGGGGGGAGGGGGGGGGTGTAAGACAAACTCCATGACTAAAAAAACAGCTATTTGAACCGATTATCTGACAACAACAAATCCAAATAAATGGAAATAAACTAAATAAACTATGGCAGGCTTAAAATTAATTACAAATACAATATATATCCTGACAACAATTACACTAAGTGTACATCACAGATCTAGAAGCTGTTAACATCAAAACACAACACAAAAATAAATAGGACTCTTGTAATAAACATTGCAAAAATATGCACTGAAGACTTTAGCAAAAATTAAGATTCACAAAGGCACTAGTTAAAAATTTAAAAAATAAACTTATTTTTAGTTGTTACATGAGTGCATCATTCTTATTAAAATGAAAGCATTCTTTTAATCTCATCAACATATAAACCGAAAATTTATCAACATTTTGAAGCTTCAGAAGAAAATGCAGGGAGAATCAGCTTCAACTAAGTGATTAACAGATCAGTTTCAGGAGGAATGGCAACTGTAGCAGCAGATGAAATCATGAAAGAAGCAATAGAAAAGCAATATAAAAGGAAAACAAGCATGGTAATGTGATTAGCTGGGAAAAGGAAAATGCATACTGGGGAATCTGTACATGGTAAATGAGATCCACCAATGACAGATTGTGTGGAATGTTTGCAGTAGCATGTGATATATTTCCATGCTTGCCTTGACCTAATGATAAACTCCACTAAGCCCATTAATTATCATTATGTGCTGGAATAGAATCTTCTTCTATATATCACACACATTTATTGATTATTCTGCTATCAAGTATTCTTAAATAAAAGTTTGCTTCATTTTTATTTTTTTTCCCCAAGGGGATGTTATTCCAAAACAGGATACTTTAAATGAATTTCGATTACATGAATTAACAACCATCAATATCTACTGCACTATATCAATGTTCAAGAAACAACAAAAGGATAAAATACAGGAGATACATGTAGTTCAAAGGTATCAAAACTTCAAAGGGTGGATATCTAAATATACTGTACAAAGATTGTTTCAAAATGCAAAATAAATGGTGGGGTGGAGGGCGCATTGTCGTCTGCGCCATAAAAGTGAACAATTTAGAAAAATAAAAATTTGAATGTGGCACCGATACAAATAATGTAATGCAGATCAATATCAATTATTATACACTTTGTTTAACTGTGGCACCTTTGTCACTACAGAAGCACTACAGAAAAACTAACACATTTTTTTTAATATGAGTGCTTGTACAAATCAGAAATACTGGACACATTTGCTAACATGTAGGATAATGTTGGACAAAACAATGCCATAGAAAATTTGTATACAAATTTCACAAAAATACAATATTTATCTTTTTCCACAAATAGGATTTAATTTGAAGGGGGTGTGTCTGACTGCTCCTGTTTAGGAAGAGTTTCTGGAAGAGGCGGAGCCTTCTCTTTCTCATCCACTTGATTGATGTCTGCTATGACATCAATCTTACTGACAACAGGACGCTGAGTTTGTGATCTGTGCAGGTCTATTCCATGTTTGACAAGCAGGCCTTTTAAAAGTTCTATTTCTTGTTCCTGTGTGGTGCAGTATTCTCTATATTTAGCCAGTTCTTTTTCACAAGCCAGACGTAAACGTTTTTCTCTCTGAATCTTCTTTTCTGCTTGTTTTTTTACTGACACAACAATACCTGTAGTGCATAAATAAAAAATTAAATATGGAAATTTCTAGAAATTTTCCACATATTAGAAAAAATTGCATATTAAAAATTAAAAATTAAACTTGCTTCAACTTTGATGAAGCAACATTGAAGACTTACCATTTAATATCCTAGTAACCCTCCACAATCTCAGAACAACTAAAAGTCCTGCACCACTTTCAGGTCCCTCCTTGTTGCGGAAAATAATATCAAGCACAAAAGATACAACCACGACAAATGCATCAAACAACTCCATCTTGTGGCGAAAGAAACTCAATCTATAAGCATAAATTTTAACAAAAATCTCTACCATGAACACACTTAGTATGGCAAGACTTGAGTAGTGCAAGATTTTAGGAGCAAGATCACTCCCCTCCTTATGCTCAGAAACTTGAATGATATTCATGTCTAGGAGGAGCTCTGCGATCACCAAGAGGGAATCAAGAACCACCAAAGCAACAACAATGATGTGAAACTTGTTTGTGTGAAGTATGTAGACTAGACGTTCCCGCATATTTCGAAACTCCATCTTTTCATCTGAGTCTGTTGTGATTGAACTGTTGGAGTCTTCTTTTTCTATGACTTTCTCCAGATCATCTTGAAGCTTTTGAAAACCCTCCATCTGAATCTATAACAGTAAAAAAAGTATTTTAATATAATGGATTTTTATGTTTCATATCTAATATATACAAAGTTAAAATGTCCCTTGCTTGTAGTCTGCTGAGTATCGGATATGTTCTTCATATACATTGTACATTACATGATACAAGGGCACACAATTGGAAAATACTACATTTACTACCATTATTAACCTAAACAATTTTAAGGTACTACACATCCTAAAGTTATATTCTTTTTTTCAAATTGAAGAGTACAGTGGGCTATTGAATTTAGAAAAAAAATGAGATTTAAAAAAAGCGCAGATTAATCTTCATTTTTCCTCGGCACCAAGGATACAATTTCCCCAATTTTCAATGTACACATATATACTGGCATTTTTTTTTTTTTAATTTTTAGCTCTTCTGAGCCAAAGGCTCAAAGAGCTAATGCTACGACTGTTCGTGTGGTGAGGATAAACTTTTTAGAATATGGGCCATATCTCAAGAACCCCTTGGCCAATATTTTCAAATTTGTCATTTTAATAAAACAAGGGGAGATAATTAAGAAAATAAAAAACAAAGTACCAGTTGCTTAAAAATCTTCTTTTCAAGAACCACTCGGCAGATTATCACCAAACTTATAAATAAGGATGAAAACATGTTGTAGATTAAAAATTGTTCAAGGCATCACTCCAGGGCAAAGGGCATGATCTCAAGGTCACTTCAAAGTTGATCAAAAATTATGTTTTGTTAAAACTTTGATATTTAGATTACTATAAGGACTAGGCTCATCAAATCTTGTCAGTTGATGCATCTCATGACTTCATATCATGTTGAGTTAAAAGTAGGTCATGGTGACCTACTTTTTGAATTTTGCACGTATTCATTTACAATTTGATTTCAATGCATATATTGGACATTTTGAAACCTATGATCATCAAAACTTGTCAGTTTATGTATTATGGGGCTTTGCAGTGTATCAATATATGACCTACTTTCCCAATTTCATGGCTAATCATTTTTAATACATTTCAGGTCATTATTTCAGATAATGAGAGGTTTAGAGTCACCAAACCTTGTAATTGATGCATCTTGGGGCCTAAAGCATATTTTTCAAAAAGTAGGTCACAGTGACCTACATTTTTTTTTCATTTTCCAGACATTCATTTTCAAATAGTTTTAGACACTCTCTACCATCGGCTCATACATTCACTTCTGTCGTTGGCTCATGATATCACAGTGATAAGCACGAGAAATAGTGCGTTTGTTTTAATTCATAATTAAATATCTGAGCTAATGATAGTCCTTAAAGATAGATATTTACTAAATAGATATAAAATTATTAGTTTAATTTGAAATAATCCTTGAAATTTATGTTTTTTACGTTACCTCAAAAATCTTGACACGAGCCCATTACAGAGGTGTCTGAGAGAGGAACAAATGACAACTCTGCATAGGAGATTGAGTTTTAGAGGCATATTTTGGACATTTTTGAAGCCTATGATCATCGATCAAACCTTGTCAGTTGATGCATCCTAAGGCCTCAAAATATTTAAACCAAAAAGTAGGTCACAGAGACCTTTTTTGGAATGTTATGGCTATATTTAAATATTGAGATACTAATAGACATAGAATCATCAATCTTTGCCAGTTGATGCATCTTGGGTCCTCAGAGTATGTTAACTGAAAAGTAGGTCACCTTGACCTACTTTTGAAGTTTTAAGGCTATTTTAGTATTTCGGATACTAATTGACTAAGAATCATCAAACTTTGTCAGTTGATGCATCTTGGGTCCTCAGAATGTGTCAACTAAAAAGTAGGTCACTTCTAGTGCTAGGCGTTTGGCAAAGGAACAGTCACTACTTATGTTTATATCTTAGGTTGATGTGGCATAGCAAACAAGAATTGAACTTAGGCCTCCCGATCATGAAGGGAGTGCCCTACCACTAGGCTACCATGACCAATTTGGTTACTTGCAGACAGCCTGGGTTATACAAATAAGTGTCAGAAAACAACCTCCCTCTAGCTATGTTGACAGAGGTAATAAGATCCTGTGAAAGGCACTTATGGAATCTTTCATTGCTTTAAACAAATGTATGGGGACAATTTGTTCTATAGAGTCAGTTGAAGATTGCATTTCCATTTGACTGTCTATATCATTCAACTTCATACTCATAGTGAGTTCTTCAACTTTCAAAATAACTCAATCTTTGCTATCCTTCACAACATATAAAAATGTGATAAATAAGAAATACCTGCATCATAATATGGTATTTTAGGAAATATATATATATACTCTCATCATCATAAACAGGTCACAAAAATTAAGATCTGCACGTGAGGTTACACCCCCTTCTTAGTTGGCATACTTTTTAACATGTTTTCTCTTACTTACCTTCATATCTGTAGGAATTACTCACAAAATAACAGAATTAACAGGTTGACAATGTTATCCAGAACAAAAGAGGCAAGGTACAAATGATAACCATCAATATTGTTTATTTACAACAAAGAACAATATTGTGGTCTCTCAGTTCTCGATCTGTACGATAGCTTGACGAGATAAGAGAAAATAAAATCCAAACTAACCTGTTTCCGGATTAATCAGGGCTCCGCCCCCTCACTTACAATATAGATGTGGGAAAGAAACGAGTTATTTGACTCAAGGCAGATATAAAAACAAATATGAAAGACTCTCCATTTTAATTGCTTCAACCATAGCTAGGATTCACTGAAGGCCGTAAATAGGCCCATATCTATAGTGAGACGAAGGTCTGGGAACCACGCCCACTCGGACTTCGTCCCCAGCAGGTCCAAGGCAAGGTCCTTGTGGGGGACCGGGGTCAAAGATCCACCTTCGGAAAATCCTGGGTCTTTGAAATTGAAGTTTTCATTTTTTTCTGTTATTTTTTTTTAATGTTGTTATCAATACCCTATGGAATTCCATATACGACAGCCAACTGCTTACTGCCAACTGCTCACTGCCAACTGCCACTGCGCATAGATTATATTGCCTGTTTTATTCATAGGCACTCCCCAGCTTAATCGTTAAAAAATATATATCTACTAGGGCCTATACTAGTTTTATAGTATAGTAGATATATATTTTTTAACGATTAAGCTGGGGAGTGCCTATGTTTTATAGTATAGTAGATATATTTTTTTTAACGATTAAGCTGGGGAGTGCCTATGGGTTATATTTGTTGGTATATACATTTATATCAGAAATACTAATAAAAAAAATCATAAAGGCCTTTTACTTTATGTAAAGAGCAATTTCAGGGTAGAGAGAGAGGGCGCACAACCCAACATAATTCCCTTGACAATTAATTTAAAAAAAAGTCACAGGCGTCTTTACTGAAGGTAGAACTACTGTATATATGTTGGAAATTTAGTGGTTACGCCCCCACCACCACCACGAATGTTTTTACAGATCTAACGATTTACATAAGACACATATAAAAATTCCCACACATAAGTACTTTTCCTAGGGTAAAAAGAAACACCGACAGATATTACTAGATATTTAACCTAGGCAAAAGTTATTTGTTATTATAACTTTCAGTAATATTTCTAGTATAAATACATATACCAACAAATGTTACTCAAGACTTCGAAAGCCCATTGAGCTCATTTTCGTAGGTAATTTTTTTTTTATATATATTTTCGCGTTATAACGCGAATGTTTCGCGAATAAACGCGTAACTTTCCCTGTAAAATAGAAACATTTGCATAAGTCTCCATTTTCTTTTACTTTAATGATCTAGTTTATTCGTTACAATGAAAAACGAAAGACTATTTTGAACTTGGATTATCACAAGCTGATATTTTATGTTTTTCACGCCATTGAATGTCTTTCCTCTTTCTAAATCTTTTTTGCCGTCACATTTTGTTTTTCTCAACGCTGTTCAAACATTTTCAACGTCTCTGCGAGTTTTTCCAAATTGAAACTTTCGGGAAAATGACCCCCCTTTCCGGTGTAACGACGGAAACTGACCCTCGTAGAATATTGACCAGGGGGTCAAATTTGTACGTAGAAAAATGATCCTGGGTCAATTTTCCACGACAAGTAGGGTCATTTTTCGACCGTAGAAAACCCTTCCAGGCCGGTAATTCTACAACTCCTCTCACGTTGAAAAATGACCCCCATAGAAATTTGAGCCCCCTACTTTTTCACAATATTATATAATAAAACCTGTTAAAAACCTTTAGAAATGAGATATGATACGCGTTAATTTTTCCCAAGAAAATTTCAACATACATCTGGACGGGTGAGAAAAGAAAAAAAAATTGTTTTCTGGGAAAAAAATTGAGTCGGACCATTTTAGCCAGTCGGTCGGGAGAAGGAACAAACTTTTTTTAAAGATGGCCTTGGCTTGTCTCCAAATCATGCACTGCAGTTATAGAATTTCTAACATGTTTTCTACCTCCTTCCCCAGTCCTTTTCATAATTTAAGGAGGAATGCCACACCAAAATTTTATTTAATAGATCTTTAAGACGTCCCTTTTAAACTATGGTTGCAGCACTGAAAGACTGATATTAGCTCTTAATTATTTAATACGATTTTTGGGGGTATTTATTCTGAGAAAATGAAAAAAAATATGTTTTATTTGCAAAGCTTATTAAATAAAAATCAAATTTGTTGTAAATCGGAAAACTCTTTTACTCATGTACACAACCTTTCTTAGACCCGAATTAGAATATGCTTCCTTGGTGTGGGGTGGATGTAATGTAGGCGATAGGGAAAAATTAGCTCTTAACTCTATTAGCTTCTAAAGATGCACTATACTTTGAAACTGGATGGGAACCATTACATGAAAGAAAAAAAATACTAGATTAACTACAATAACCAAGTTCCTGAATAGCTAACTGATATAATCCCCAAATTTGCGTTGTAATTCATCAAGTTACAGTACGAGAAATTCGTATAAATATATAAACATACCTGAATGCAGATTGCAAACATATAAGTCAACTTTCATCCCCCTTGTTATTGACGAATTGAACTCATTACCTCTTATTGTAAGAAATTCTTCCTCATTGTCTATCTTTAAAAAGTCCATGTCTTACAATAAACCTATGCCACCCTCTTATTTCAGTTACGGGATTCGACGCTGAAATCTATTACATACAAGGCTTCGACACAACTGCTTGCTTGATAGCGATCTTTTTCGATGTAATGTAATTTTGAGTCCCCTGTGTTCTTGTAGAAGAGTGGAGGATACTCCTCATTATTTCTTTTCATGCAAAAAATATACAGAGGCCAGAAAAGAATTTTTTTGACTCATTTCTGCGAATGGGAAAATTACATACAGTTGATACTCACACTTTAATGTGGGGAGATGAAACGTTAAACGATGTTGAAAATGAATACCTATTTTCCATTGTACAAACATTTATTAAAAAGTCAGGTTGTTTTGGTTGATACAATTATTACTTTTTACGAATTCTATACAGCTTGTGTATTATTTAAGAAATATATTATATTGAATATTGTTCCTTTGATTATTATGCTTTTCTGTGTTTATTTATTTTAAGCTTAAACCCATATATGTAAATATGTTAGGTATAATTTATATGTAGGGAAAGGGCGTATTAATTTTTTTTTTAGAACTTTTGCCCAGTCCCATTTGTAAAGTTTATAGATAATACGTTCAAATCAAAGATGCTTTATGGTTTAAAATTTGCTATTAATAAATGCATAATATGAATGTCTAATAAAATGTGTAAAGAGAGGTTGGACAGACATTTTAATTTTTAAAATTAAATATCATTTATGAATATAAAACACAAAATTTGTAAATATTTTTTGTACCTATGGATAAAATCTTCTTAAAACTAGTCACAACTGGGAAGAATATGTTAGTCAATCATATTTTGAAAAGACTAAATTAAGGGAAGATAATTATTTTAATAGAGCTGTATGTGGATTAATCCCAATCAAAATCAAACTGATCCCGATCAAAATTAACACAAAATAAATAAAATAATAATTATCGTCCTCTTTATGTATTTGCCTCTAAGAAATCTACTTGATTGTCAAGTTCATTTACCTTTTAATCCGTATTACACCTAAACAAACTAGTATTCTTGTGAAATGTTATCTATTTCCAACTATCACAAAATTCTGGTTGGGATCAGTTTAAATTTCGATCGGGATTGGCCAAAATTAAAAAAAAAATTTTTTTCTAAAATTTGGCATTTTCATTTTAATTTCTTTTAAAACTATGATTGTCTAGCATATTCATTGTAGCTGTGACTTGTTTTTTGAATATATTATCCATAGGTTTCGAAAATATTCGCAAATACTGTGTTTCATTTTCCTAAATAATTTTTTTAGTAAAAAAATTAAAATGTCCAGCTTGCTTTTGTTTATATATTTTATTAGATATTCATTTTCTGCATCTATTAATAGCAAATTTTTAACTATAAAACTTCTTATTTGCAAATAATTTTTTTTTCATTTTCTATGAAAAATTGGAAAAAAAATCTTATAAAATAATTGAGAGCTAATATCGGCCTTTTAATGCTGAAACCATAGTTTAAAGGGGATGTCTTAATGATCTATGAAAAAAATAAATTGGTGTGGCATTCCTTCTTAAATTCTTCCTTCAGACTTAGAATTAAATGCTTACTTCAAGTGTTTTACAATTAATAAACTTTATGTACAGTACATGCAGATTGAGGAGGGTTCCTATGCGTGACAGAGGCAACTTTGGTACAATTTTTTAAGCCCACAATTTGCTTGAGTTTCTTTTTTTTTTGATTGAATGGCTCTATTACTTAAGTGAATGATTTTAATTTTCCCAGAGGCTTTGCTAGCACCTGTAATAAGCTGAACATTTACTCAAATTACGTTGATAGCCCAACGGTTAATCATTTAACGGTGTCCATTCAAAACCGTTTAGTACATATAGAAATCTATGGTTAGCAGAGTAGAACCATGCAACAAGTAAAGATTATACATAGTTTTATTAAGAGTACGTATTTGAACAAATACCAAACGAACGTTTATATGCAATAAGGAAATATGAAATGCCGGGTAATCCGTAGAACAACGAGTGAGTCATGATGCAAGTGCATTTTGGTTAACATTGAAAGCAACAACACGGTGTCTGAACAAGATAAAAATTATGAAAATATAGTAAACTGAAAGCTTACAAGGGAAAAGGATAGTGAATGTCAAACCCTTATTACATACTAGATCAAATAAAGGATATTAATAAACCTCCTCTCTGCATGTGGATAAATTAGGGCATTAGCCGCACATCTATTTTTCATAAGGGTACAACAAAAATAATATCCAACTTAGATTTCAAGCTTACATATGTTCCTTGCATGTAAGTAAGCATATGAATATTGTTTTCCAAGCATATAAAATTAAATGCACAAACATATAACGCAATGGACAAATTGTGAACAGGGAAGCAGTATTTTCTGTTGTTTTAAGTTATCGCCCTTATAATTTTAAATTACATTCATTTTTTTGCTAAAATGAAAAAAATTTGCCAAATCCAATTTAAAGTAAAAAGATCAAAAATAAACA